AGACACCTCTATTAAGTGGACGCGGACACCTAAAAAGTTCCTGAAATGGTCATTTCTATTTTTGCCAACCTGTATTAAACGGACACTTGTAATTAAATTCCACCATCCAACATGCGAGTCACCGGAAATGCGAAAGATTGCCTTGAATTGCCTCCCACAAATTTTTCGATTCTTACATTAAAAAACGTGACTTGACGAACTTATTTGATTAGTTTCACAGTACAGTATTGTTTTCTATTTTATTTTCCATTTCGTTTTGTTTGTATAGAGCTCGTTTCACTCATCTGATTTCTTCAAATTTGAGTTGCAATCTATGTTTATGGTACTATGATCAATTGGTCCACTTTGATAAAGAAATTAACGCAAACGTATATCGTCATAGTCTCTGGGAGTATTATAAACGTTTCCGCTGTTCATTTGAATGGCATGACACCTCCTATGACGTTATCTATCGAAACCTGTATTAGGCGGACACCCTGTATTAAGCGGACACTACAGCATTCCTTAATACAGGTTTCACTGTATTAAAATTAAGTTACCAGCGCATTTTCAGCCGTATATCTCAAATGTAGCGATTGCAATGGCCGCCGAAAATTGGATTTGTATGGGAAAAACAACTCTTGCCACTAAGCCATGTTTGCGTGGCTCTCCAAATCCTGGCTTGTAAATTTTAAAATTTTCAAACTGTCGTAAAATCTCATAACAGACAATTTGATCCCTGTAATCGTGAGAGTGGAACACTCAAATTTGGTTTTATCAACCGAGTTGAAAAATCCAATCTATCGACCTAAAGCCGATTCTAATTCGAAACTGGGTTTTCTAAGCGCTTGCCATGGCTCAATTCCAGTATCAAATTTGTACTTAAGGGAGCTATGGAACTTAACATTAACGAAGAAATTACTCGTAAAGGACAAAATCAGAGCTTCTTGTCCAACAAATATACTTTTCAAACATTATATCAAGCGTTACAAACAACAACAATAAACTTTGAAGATCTTTTAGGCTAAGACTAAAAAACACAATTGTCTTCTTCTCTCTTGTTTATCCCATCTGTTCGTGCTTTTGTATTTGCTGTTTAATGTTTTGAGCGATTATTTTTATGTTTTACTTAATTTGCTGACCGAGCCTATTGTTTAAATTTGTCGGTGTTCCAAAAAAGAGGTGTAGGTCGGAAATACTCGTCTTCAAAGTATATTATTAGAGATCTTTAAATTCGAGGACGATAACACTACGAGTGCGAGATTTGACTTTAAGTTTTTTCGCGTATTCGAAAAAGATAGGCATCCCTGAAAGCTTCTTTGTACTTTTCTTTACCAGAAAAGGTAGCATTCTTATCCTTCTTGAAGGAGGCCTAAAAGCCCTCTCCTAATCGAAAAAATATAAAACTTCTAATATTTGAGTACTTGTTTCCGCTACCACGACATTTTCGCAAAAACTCGACGACGACGACTATCACGTTTTCCCTCCAAAACTGATGCTGGCTCATGCGCTAGCAGTGCTTAGCAGTATTGAGATAATCTTGTCTGCCAGTCGACCTCGTCTAAGATTCTAAGACGAGTACGACTCGAGAACGAGATTTTCTTAGTACTAAGTATTGCTCGCGCGTGAACCAACGTCATTCTGGAGGGGAAACGTAGTAACTGTCGTCACTCTACTACGACTCTTAGCGAGATGTCGAAGTGGCGGAAACAAGTTATCAAATGTTAGAAGTTTGATCATTTTGCGAGCGGGAGGGGGCGTAACCTCCGTCACTAAAGATAACAGTGCTAACTATATTTTGAGAATACGCGAAAAAACTTTAAGTCAAATCTCGTACTCGTAGGCGTAGTCGTCTTAAAATCTAAAGGTCTCCATTAACTGACGTGCGACGACGTTGATCAAACCTTCTATCGACTTCAAGATTCATTTGTCACTCACCTGTGCCTTGTGAGTCAGCACAGTTGATGCTATTTTTATCAAAAGTTACTGTTTTAATCATTTTGTTACAATACCTTGCTTAGTGACGCGTCAAGTGATAATTATTATGTATAAGTTTGAAACAAATGCAATGTTTCACCATTAATATGATCATTAACAGACCACAAGGATAAAGCAAGACCGAAATATGAACCTATGGCGATTAACATTCGGGACCAGCTGCGAAGCCGTGACAGACCTTAACCCCCGGGGGGGGGGTACTTTAGGAATTTCTGGGTGGGGATGTGCCGCTGGGACCCTGGAACCCTTAACCTATACCAGAGCTAGTTCAGCTGAATTTTGCTACCCTATACTAGAGTAAACTCCCCAAATCCCCCTATCCTAGAGTAGCTGTTTCCCTAGTCTAGATAAAATCTTCAACAAACTGATCAGTTTCCTGAAAAATGATACCCTATTCTAGACCCAAATGCTTTGATTCATATACCCTATCCTAGAGTAAACTGCCTGAAAACCATACCCTTCACAGCGGCACATACCTATATAGCCCATATATGGCAGTACCCCCCGGCCTTAACCCTTAAAGTCCCAATAGTGACCAACGGCAATTTTCTCCTAACGATATCCATACAATGTCATGAGATGAGGTTATGAGAATTAATAAAATGATCGCCTAAGAGAAAATGCTTTGATCTTTTATCAAATTCTCTTAACTAATTCTTAAAGGAGAGGTATAGCGATCAGTTTGGAGAATTTGTGTATGGATATTGGGGCTTAAAGGGTTAAGGGAGCTTAAGCAAAGGCGTTTTTGAGGGACGCACGTCAACCGGAAGTAGATTTTTCACATTCTTGAGCGGTGGTTTCGCCCAAATTTTCAGTCAAACCGTCTCTATGAGAGTAAAGAGCACTAAAGTACTAAAGTGATGACGTCATAAAAATGAAATTTCTGAAATTATGGGATTTGTTAGGATATTCTGAAAGAACAATGTCCAAGAGGCCTACTTGCCAAAAATGACCATTTCGGGGCAAATTGTCTCTGAGATGTTAGCCGGTTATACTCAGAAAACTCCATACAAACCCTTCTAATTTTGGGGGGTGGGGGGTCGACCCAAAAAAATTTAAAAGGGTTTGTATGGAGTTTTCTAAGCATAACTGGGCTACGATCTAAGAGACAATTTGCCCCGAAATGCTCATTTTTGGCAAGTAGGCCTCTTGAACATTGTTCTCTCAGAATATCCTGACAAATCCCATAATTTCAGAAATTTCATTTTTATGACGTCGTCATTTTAGTACTCTATTCAAATTATATATCGTCAAGGCATGTTAAGAGGGAAAATGCCTCACTTCCGGTTGACGTCCGTCGTTCAAAAACGTCTTTGCTTAAGCTCTCTATTTTCTGTCGTCCAGGCCACGGAGGCACTGAGTTTCCTTTTTTCTTTCAGAGGATGACGTAAGAATGGGCGCCTGGTTATATTTAACCTAATCAGTTTGTTACGCATCGGAAACGACGGTCTTCAGTGGAGGGGGTACGTATTGGGGGAGGCTGGGAAGGGAGGGTTCGTGTGTTGTCTAACTTTGAATTTCAAACCCCTTCGTTTAGCTTATTGAGGGTGAAGCAAGGGAGATCCCTGTCCTTCCCAGTGTCGGTATTTAAAAAACAGTATTTGCTGTTTTCTTCGTCACCGTTGAAGTTTCAGTTCATTTGACAATCGTGTCTCGCCATTATTAATCTTCCCAGAGTCGCAGATTTAAGGCTTTGTCGGTTGCTGGAATTTGCCATAATGGGGTCTTACCCCTGGGGATTCCTATTTGAAAAGACGGAGACACTTGTCGAAAGTTAGAATTAAACACCCAAAGGAAACCCGTCAGGGCTTGGCTTATGATGGCACAGTTTCGATACTGATTTATTGCTCGTTAAATTCTATTTTAGCTGAGTGAAAATGCGGTCTTCAAAACTTCGTTTCTATGAAAAATAGTCCAGTAACCATAAACGAAAGAATTCTAAAACTGGAGAGTGCAAAAAACCTTGCGGTAAACGTCAAATCACTTACCTCTAGAGCGTGGTTACACTCTACAAACGTGAACCTGAACCTGCAAACCTATCATGCATCAAGCACTTTCATATATGATGCTCATATATCGCCTCAACAAAACAGTCATAAACAGTCATAGAGCACAACAGCTGTTCAAATCGAAGTTAGGCGGTATTAATGGAGCAAAACAAACTAACGTTTCTGTCCTATTAAAATGCTCGTGATAGTACACATTTTTCATTTGAAAGGGTGTGCTGTAACTTTCCTGATCGTCACAATAGGCCGTATCCGAGTTCCAAACACCCTTTCTTTCCACACGAGACTAAGTGCAAACCCTTTTTTTGTGATAATGAATTTCATTTGCATGAAAATGTTAACCCCTCGAACCCTGATATTAAAATTGAGATTCTTATTCACTGTCCCTATACAATTCAATAGAAGTAGCTGGGAGAATTTGTTGGAGTATCAGTTAGACTCATCTTCCCTGATCATGTACTCAATTCTCATGACCACTCTGTTTTCTAAAGCATTGATATTATAACGAGAAATTTCATGCTGATCTCTCTTATGGCTAAAGGGTTAAAATAACTTTCATATCAAGGGGTTTGCACTTAGCGGCGTTTTGAAACAGAGGCTTGTGGCAACTCGGAAATGGCCGTTTGGACGTCCGCTTATTTGCAAAACAACGAACCACCACAACATCCTTACATACTAAATGGGATTTCCACATATTTGCTAGCTTCCGTTACAGTCTATTAACCTGCCCTAAAGCCACTATTTAACTCTTTGGCGAGACCAGCGATCAGCGAAAAAAAAAAACGTATTTTTACCAGTTCCTCGCTTTGGACCTGTTTTCCGTCAATTAGCAGGGGAGCGGTTTAAACACTGAGGACGTATTTTCCGGTTCGGTGGATGTAATTGTAAGGGAGTGTGAAAGATATTTCACGCAAATATTTATCTTACTTTAACTTTATAATGACAATAAATGCTTAATAATAAAATCATGGTCACCTGGCACATAGCCCGCACCAAACACAGTTCTTTTCTACTCGCCAAGGCGACCAAAACGGTTGCAGATTGGTAGCGCTCTTCAGAAATGGAAAATTCACAAAATGCATTAAAGTAAATGAAGCACAACAAAGTCATTAAATGATTTCACTTTAACTCAAAATAATATCAGTTAATCGTTATTCCTTTACCAGCAACATTTTTTACCAAAGCTGTTGGTGTATATATTTTGCAGTCTATAATCAGCGCAGCAAGCTTATATTCTCAAAAATTATTTCTCAAATCTCATTTCAGGCCAATCGTGTTATCTTTAATTCCATACCTGAGTATCTGTTAAAATACGGCAGCTACTAAGTTTTGTCATGCTAGTTTCACGCATCGTTTTCTAAGACATCTTCAAGAGAAGGGACCACGTTTACCTCATCAATAAGACCTATCTATCTACCATTAATTTGTCACCATCAATTTGATAATTCCTGCAAATGACCTTCGTTATAAACCCCTGGCAAATTAAAACTGAAAAGGAAATTAGAAAGCACAAAGTTCTGCTCAAAAACGTTTGTTCTACTTGTCATCCGGCAGATCTTCAATAGATGGCACCACATTAATTTCGTCGATTAGGCCTTCTTTGTAAAAGCCTTCCAGGGCCTTAAAGCGGAAGAAATTTTGGATGCGTTTCAGCGGCTTCACCCCGAGCACTCTTTCCTGTTCTTTCTCTTCCACAGTTTGCCATTTTATCAGACCCCAGAAGCTTGAATGATGTTTTGTGGTGATGATTCTCTCAGGGGCAACTTTAAAATCTAGCTTGTAGAGGCAGTACATGCAGTCTACAAACTTTCCATCTTTGGATTTTCCAAACGCTATCATTCCGTACCTGGCACTAGAATCACTTGACGCGTTGTATTTAAACTCCATTACCTTATATGCCCATTCACCTGCCCACTCGATTCCGTTCATTTTCTTCCTCATCTCTTCATCAATACCCTCATAAGCGTCCTGGAGATGATCCAAGAAGCTTTGGACACTCTCAATGGCAATACCTTTGGCTTCCATTACCTAATTGATAAAAAAATACCAGGTAATTTGCACACGCTCGACAGGTTAAGGTTGATGGCTGCGATTTTTCTGGAGTCCATCGCGTAAAAAATATCTTTCTGAATCGAACTGACTAAAATAAACTACTAATGCAGGAGTTGTTTCGCTGTCAAAGTCCCTTTACAGCAAAAATAGGTTCCATCTAATTCCCAGCATATATTTCCAGTTGCGTCAGCATAATGTTATCCATAATCACACAATCTTCCAACAAAAAATGATTTCTGTGTAGTCTAACTTTGTCCTTGAGCTAACAACGAGTTCCTTAAAACACCATCTCAAGTTCATGCAGTGCATGTCATGATCATAAACAACTTACTGGAATTTTAACATTTCTTCGTGGTAACACTATAGCAACTTCCTGCATTAACACCATTCCTCTACGGTGATACCTCTCTTTTACAGTAATACCACATTCCTGGCCTCAGAGCTTCCTCGTGCCGTAATTCCATTCCCTTAGAGTCACATGCACACCACCTCCTGCAATCACAGCCTCTTCCAGCAGTGATACCTAACATCAACGGTCATACCATTGTCTTTAACCCTTTAAACCCTAAGATCAAAATTTGAATTCTCATTTGTTGCCCCTATTCATTTCCTACAGAAGTAGTGGGGAGAAGTTGATAAAATATCATGCAAATTCATCTTGTGTGATCATGTCCGTAATTCTCATAACCACTTTGTTTTACAAAGCATTGATATTACAAGGAGAAATTTGATGCTGATCACTCTTAGGGCTTAAAGGTTTAAGTCATACCACCGTCCTACAATCAGTCTCCTCCGCCCTCTTTCAGGAACACCAAAGAATTTCTACGGTCATATGCCGTACTTCTTGCCATTTAAATAAACTTTCCAATCATACTATAAATTATTCCATCAACAATTTCTTGATTATAAAATTACATGTTAGAAGTTGCACCATCTACGTACCTCGCACCCTTCGTGCCATTTGTCGAATAACTCCCCTTCAATTTCTCTCTGGAGCTGAGTCGCGTCAAACTGAGATACTTTGACACTGTAGAGCCCAGCTTTGACCTTATCCAGCGCCTTGTTCTTCACTTCCGCGTCATTTGTCTTTATTTCCCCCAGATAGCTTACACCAACACGATCTATCTCTTTCTAAAAAAAAAAGCAAAGAATTTCAAACAGTTCTCAGTAATTAGTGAACCTCTAATAGTAGTAGTGGCCGAGGGTACTCCTGGAAATTCTTGGTAGGGGTGTGCCGCCCGGTTCTTCAAATCCTGACCCTATATCAGACTGAAAAGGGTCACTTTCCACACCCGTTTTGAGACCTGGCCTTCCTCTTTCTTCGCAGAAATTATGTCATCTACTTAGATTCGACCGCAAACAAAATACTTCTTAAAATTCATTTCAAATTCGCATATTTCTCTTTCTTTCTTATTCATTTGGAATGGAAACGGCAAATACGTTCATACACTCTCGTAGTTCCCTCGAAAACCCTACGCAATTCCAGACTAAAAAGGGCAAAATGTATACCCGTCTAAAGTCCATACCCATTTTCAGACCTGGTCTTCCCCTTTCTTTGCAGAAATTATGTCATCTACTTAGATTAGAACGCGAACAAAAAGATCTCTTAAAATGCATTTCAGTTTCGCATATCTCTCTTTCCTTCTTTTTCATTTGAAATAGAAACGACAGATACGTTCGTACACTCCCGTTGTTTCCTCGAAAACCATACCCAATTCCAGACAAAGCAATGACGCTCACGGGAGGCCTTTCGCATATCTGCTTCATAGGGGCAGATGTGTTTGCTGGAAAGAAAGTTAGTCTTCTTGCCAAACCCTTAAAACCTCCCGCTTTTTTGTACATTTGTCAGCCGTCGTTGCACGATTGCGACATGGAACTTCCTAATTTCAACCGCCCGCTTTAAGGAGTAGGTGAGCACGTCACAAAATTTTATTTTTCTTTTTCTAAACTTAAATACCGTCTTTCGGATTCAACCCCCAAAAATTTCGTCAACATTTGACAAATTAAATGGAATTGAATAAGATCGATGAATTTTGAAACAGTGCAAATTCACTTTTTAAGTTAATTTTCAGTTTGTTGGCATCCAAAAATTTTGTTACCATGGCAACGTGACGTAATTACTTCTCGCTATTCAACTACAAAGAGACTGGAGAGGAACACCTCTTAGGGGGTGTTTACATGACACCGGGGCGACTTTCGCCCCGGAGCGAGTTCAATCCGGTTCCCTCTCATGGCTCTATATTTGTTTACATGATACCACCACAAAATTTTATGCCGGCGTGAGTTCACCCCTGTTCTTGTACCGGGGCGAGAATTTCACTCCGGTACGAAATCTCGCAACGGTATCATGTAAACGCGAAACGACCACCCGTTTTGGTGTGAAATCGGTCTGCCGGCAGACTGGAGCGGGTAGCGCATGCATGATGTTTCCGATTTTGAATCAGAGGTGTATTTTATTAACATGAAGTGTACCTTTAAATAACGGGATATGAAATGGCCCAGCATCATGTAAACGCGATACGAAATCAAAAAGTCATCTTGGTATGAAACTCGCGCCGGTGCGAGTTTTCTCATGTAAACACCCCCTTACATGCCTCCTGTCTACTTACATTTCCACAGTCACTGCCACTCTCGGCAGCATCGTCCTGAAAACAAAATATAGAAATTTCACATAGAATTGTCCAAGTAGAAAAAAATTAAAACACCAGGTTTTATAAAGCGTGTATGTGATGGTCAAAGTGAACATCAGGTTAAAATAATTTCAACCTAGGTTGATTCCCAATTTGCTTTTAACCCTTCTAATTATTCATGATCATGAATAGTTACTGTTGTTCATCCGCCCAGGATGAAAAATTTTCACCTGAATTCAGTTTTTTCCCCCCACCATCAGTTACATAAGAAGGAGACGATCCAGGATTTCTGAACTTGGGGGAAGCAGTGTGGATTACTATGTTTACTGAGGCCTGTTGCTAAGTTCTTACAGTTTAAAAAGGGTAAATGGCAACTCGCAATATAACACTCCAAACTAAACGCTTGAAATAAAAAATGAGACCTTTCCCCTGAAGAATCGGGCCATGCCACACCAAATATTGAAGCAGATACACATTTCTCTCCTAGTTGTATAGCCAGCCTTGCTTCTCAACTCTGATTACTGACCAAAAATAGAGCTGTTTTGTCTATGCATGTAGGCTTTGTGGATACACAGTATTATAACTTTTTCCTTTGCATACTTCCAATAGCGGAGCTCCACGCGCGCACGAGGCGAGCGTAAGCGTATCCCCATACCTAAGAAAATGTGGTAATCTGCCCATCCGAGAAAATTTGGTCATCAAGTGACCCTACGCCCGTCTCTCCTCACCAACGCACTTCATTGGTTGACTGTTTGTCGGTCTTATATATTGCACTTTAGATTTACGTCTGTTCCTTGCAAACTCAAATAAAATCAACCCAAACAACGGGACAAACGAAAAATTCTTGATGAGTTTATGTTATTATTCATTTTCGACCGACGCGTTCTTGCATAAAGATGGGCTTTCGGTCTTGGAATGATAAAATAAAAAAAAAATGCAGTTGGCTGTGTTTGCTGAAACTTCATAAGATATAAATAAAAGAAAAAATGGCTTCAAAAATTAACTTTGATATTCCAATTTGCGCCTCAATTGATTATTTGTCGGCGCTTTTGTAACAGTACAATATATTATGAAATGTAATGGACGTTAAACTAACTGACCTGAAACCGACAGTTTTGTAAAGCTATTTTGATTTAATTCAGTACAAAAGTGCTATGTCGACGTCTTACCTGAACTGTCGAGCTGTCCTTTTCTTTTGAATCATCGCCTTTGGAAGAGAAATACGATAATATGCCTCCCATTTGCTGAACCTTGAAACGCGTTGGCGATGGGATAAGGGTCTGGGCGATATATTTAGCGTAACCTACAGAGACAGATATTCGAAATTGAAAGCGAAACATCTGACATGACATCATCGTTGGGAATTTTTCTGAAAATAGCGGGCGCTTTCCATTCAACCAAAACTTCCGGTTTTTTGAAGTTTCGACAACTTCGAGTATCGAATGGAACTGTATTTTTAGGAATTTCCACAAAGCCGGACAACCTCGCGTGGTATACCCAAATTTTCGAAAAGTTTTCTTTCCATTCAACTCTGCTCACGGAATTTTCAGGACTCTCGGTTGAATGTTTCGCATCTCAGAAATTCAACAGTTCCCGAAATTTCTGGAAATTTTCACGGGAAATTTCAGTACCATTCGCCACCGTTTCCAAATTTTCGGAAGTTTTGGTCTAATGGAAAGCAACCGACGATTCCAATAAAAACCGAAGGATTGTCAGTCACCATTCTATGTCAATCATCATGTTAGACACCTGTACAGACCTTTGTCACGCGACGGTTATTTTGCCTCAGGAGATTTAAAAAGTTTCGTTTGTGGACGGCTAGGCTCGTAGAGAGAACGAGGCTAGCCGTGCACAAACAAAGGTTTTTACATCACTTGAGACAAAATGGCCACCGCGTGACAAAGGGCTATTGCCTGTAAGACAAAACTCGTTTCCGCAAGTTCTGTGGACTGTCTGGGTTTGAAGAATCGTTTCAGCGGCGGGATTGTGTCAGGCTGCGCAGAGGCCTCTTAGTGTTGTAGGGAAGTGGGGAGAGGTAAGAAGTAAGCGTGCAGGGTACGATGGGAATAGAAAAGAGAGGAAGCAAGGTCTTTTCCCTCTTTCCCATCGTCCCCCGCGCGGCTGCTAATTTTCGATTTGCCATTTTTATTGGGGTACCCTGTGGGGCCTCTACGGAGGAGAGAGGGCCCGAAAGCAGCAACGTGAAAACAAAGTTTGTTTATCAATCAACGATTAGATTCGCAAAATTTGGTCGAGCACTTTGAGATCGGTCTTGGCAAGGTTGGCGACGAGCTTTCACGTGTAAATGAATGTTCAGATTCGCAGAAATCGAACAAGTAATTTGGAAAAGTTACGACGACTTACTTTACCTGCCGTCAACATATCAGGAACTGAACAAGCAAAAGTTGTCAGGATTTTACTTACTAAAGCATGTCTTGCAAAAGATGAGTCTCAAGTAGCCTTAAATAACATGAGAATTCTCCATCTGACTCAAAACGTTATCTCTTCGCGACAATCGCTCAAAGTTACAGTGCGTGTCTTCGTCTCATGTTTTTCCTCGTATAAAATGATTGATTTATACCTTACATGTGCCTTATACAGTGTATAGGGAGACGTCGGTAAATGCTTTATAAACAAGTTTAAGTAGCTTTTTAGAAATGATATCTTGTTTCTTTCGTGTTATATCTTGGGAAAATTTCCAACCAAGTTTATGATGTTCAAAACTGAGAGGCACGAGGACGTAAGGAAAACATAATTCATACCTTGAGTCTGCCTGATAGGAGATCTTCCAATGTACATGCAGATGTCGGCAAACGTTTTGTAAACCAAATTAAATAGTTTTTTGGAAGCAAAGCCTCATTTGTTCCGTGTTATAAGTTGGGGAAATTCCCAGAAAACCCCCTCGAGTCAACGGAAAGCGAATCGAAAGCTCAAAGAAAAATAATTACAGTTGTATTACTCCGGGAAATTCCCGTGTTGTTTATTTAGTCAAAACGAAATGGAAAGTTTTCAATGCAGCAATGAGCTGTATATGCGGCTGTTCTAACAGTTCACAAAATCCACAAAGATTTGACAAGGTACAAAAAAATACTTAGTATGGCGAATATATTGTAGGTCAAAACTATTTCAACCGAGGTTGATTCAGAATTTTTCTTGTGACCAAATCTTTTAAGATTAAAATTATTCATGAAGATGAGCTGTTCCATATCTTCTGGGAAAGCGATGGGAAAATTCCCACCAATTGATTGACATAACGAAAACGGAAGCTCAGTGAACAATGGACATGCTAAATAGCCAATATTCGAGTTGAATTAATTGGGTAAATTCCCTTATTTAGGCTTAAAGAAATCGAACTTAAGGACAATGTTCTACCAGTTTAATCATTCCAGTTTTTGAAGTTGCACAGGTTGTGGCTTGTTGCTAACCGACTCCAGTGGTTCGACACGATCATCCGAGACTCCGCTAAAGTATGGCTCAGGTTAGTATTTTAGTCAACGGGTCTCTTTAACTTTTGTGTGCGTGATTATAGCGTTGCTCAGACGGACACATTATAAGCCGACTCGTTAGCTGGATTGGATAACCACGTGCTACAAATTTAGAACCCTTGCTCCGCATGGAATTAACGGGTCTCTTGTGATCTATTTAAGTGCGTGCACATTTGTGTGCGTGATTATAGGGGCGTTGAAAATATCTGTTCGGAAGACGATTTGGATAGAATTTTATTTGTTGCCGACTTGCCGCCTCTCCTAGGATTTTGGAACATCTAAAAAAATGGATTGGATTTTTAACCACGTAAAAGGTCACCTAAATTTAGAACCCTTGGCTGAAATGGAATTAACCGTAATTTTCATCACCTTTCAGCTAGGAAATCAGATGAAAAATTTTAGGGGATAAAAAAGCTATATCCACGTCGTGCGTTTAAAGATACGTTTAACAATGCTAGGTTTAAGTGGTTTTAACAGCTTCCAGCGACGTAGAAAGATGATGTGAACTGCGGAAATACATATTTAAATGAAGATTTAATTGTCGCAGTGTTAATTTCTCTACTCTATGTTTTATGCGTTTCACGGGCATAGATAGTCTGCTACACAGCCGTTTTTAGTGTCGTCACGCAAGGAGCGTTGCGTGACGACTCTAAAAACGGCTTCCCAAAACCCTTACCCTATTTATGACCAAAATCTGCGATTTTCCCTAGCAGACTAACCAAAAATTTGAACTGAACTTAAAAATTGGACCTGCTTATAATTATTTCCTAGTTCAGACCAATGTTAAAGGGTCCTTTTATTAGGTTCATGATAAGGAAGTAGCTTCTTCTAAAAAGCATTCAAGTTGTAGAGCAAAACAAAATGCAAAATCGCTGATTTTTGAAAAACCTTACCCTTTGGGGCCGCCCGCAACGTTAGGGCTAAGATGAACTGAAAACTACGATGGGTCCTCATAAAAACTTCATTTGCTCAGCAGCAGTATAAAAAAAATGGCAGCAAAAAAAAAAATGGCTAATCCGTCTGTTTTTCTGTCGTAGATACTTACAGTCATAGATGGAGTGGCTACAGCGGCAAAAGCTTTAGAAAAAGTAGAGGACATTAACCGAGCTTTGGTAAAAGTGAAGGAAGGACTCCACTCTGTGAAAGTTTCCCAGTTTGACGCGACTCAGGTTCAACGAGAAATTGAGGGCGAACTATTTGACAAATGGCACGAGGGTTGCGAGGTATGAGGTATTCTTGCTGTCATGATCAATATAAAAAAAGTGCTTGAAATATTGAGAAACGAAAGTACTACACTGAGTGACATCGCAGTCTCCACACCTTAAACCTTTGTTATTGCGCTGAATTAAATATCTGATATTTTTATCGAACAGGTAATGGAATCTAAAGGTATTGCCATTGACCGTATCCAAAGCTTCCTGGATCATCTTCAGGACGCTTATGAGGGAATTGATGAAGAGATGAGAAAGAAAATGAACGGAATCGAGTGGGCACGTGAATGGGCATATAAGGTAATGGAGTTTAAATACAACGCCTCAAGTGATTCTAGTGCCAGGTACGGAATGATAGCCTTTGGCAAATCCAAAGATGGAAAGTTTGTAGACTGCATGTACTGCCTCTACAAGCTGGATTTTAAAGTGGCCCCTGAGAGAATCATCACCACAAAACAACATTCAGTTTTGTGGGGTCTGGTCAAATGGGAAAGTGTGGAAGAGAGAGTACAGGAAAGAGTGCTTGGCGTGAAGTCGCTGAAACGCATCAAAAATTTCTTCCGCTTCAAGGCCCTGGAAGGCTTTTACAAGGAAGGTCTCATTGACCGAATTAATGTGGTGCCATCTATTGAAGATGTGGCGGATGACAAGTAGAACAAACGTTTGTGATGCCGAACATTGTTCATTTTAATTGGCGTTGATCAGAACAATTTATTTTGTTTGAGGGGAAGTTTATTAATGCTGATCATAAGTTTAACTAAAACATAATTCTGTCGTATGCTAAGATTTTTTTATGGCAATCATTCCCAAATAATTGTGCTGTTTACCCGGCAATACTGTCCTCTGCGAAATTCTATTTCTATGGATGCGTATGAACTAGTAGTGAAATTACGCATTGTGTTTACTGGGTTCTGAAACCTCTATGTCAAAATAAGTCGCTTCAAATCTGACATCGTTTTCAGCTTTCACCACTTGAGGCTGTAAGGGTCAGTGAGATTTTACATGTAATTTTTATAGTACAGCAGGAGTAGTCAAGATAGTAACTGAGTAAAGAAGTCCAATTCTGACATTGTGCTCTAATCCACAACTGTGTGTAGATTTCATTGTCGCTTGAAAATTCAGTTATTTTCTAAGTTTTGTATTAATTTCCTCACCACAACCTACGAATAATCTTTATGTGAGAAAATGACTGAGTTACATCAATCTTTAAAACGCACCTAAGACGTATTTGTTTAAATTTACCGGTAAGTATATTATCAAGTATCTTATTGACAGCGTTTTGGCTTAACTTCCGTGTTGCATTTTTATTTGCCATTAACAACACACTTAAAATTAAAGTGTAATGTTACAAAGGAAAATTTGTAATATTACACTTTTTAACGAGTAAAGCGTTACACAGAATTTTCAGTGTTGTGTTACGCTTTATTTCGGGTAATTTTACGCAAACTTTAGTGTAAAAGAGCTGGTACTCTTAACATGATAATATTACACAGTTAAAGGTATACTTTAACAATTTTTTCTATTGTAACATTACACGCAGGGTATGGTGTACATTTTACCCGTTTTTACAGCGTAAATGTATACCATAGTAAAGGTAATTTTACACTAATAAACTTATAGAATTAAACACACCTATCGGTGTTAGAGTATACTAATAACACAGAGTAATATTACACAATTTGTAGTGTTGTGTTACTCGTTTTTTCGGATACTTTAACACCAACTAAAAGTGTTAAAATTGAAGTGTATTGTTAGAAAAGAAAAATTATAAAGTTACACTTTTTATGGTGTAAAACACTACACAGAAATTATGGTGTAGTGATACTCGTTATTTTGAGTATTTTTACACCACGTTTAGGCTGAAACTATAGGTATTTTTAACATTTACTTACAGAGTAAATGTATACCACAGCGGAGGTAATTATGCACTCACATGTGCACTTATACCTTTATAGAATAAAACACCCACTCTCTTTTTAAAAAAAAAATATCGAAGCAAGAAAATCTTCATCGCGTGAATAAGTTACCTGCCCGTTTCTCGAAAGTCCCGATAATTAACGGGCCCGGTAGGCTGTCTCCGTTTGCATTAAAGATCGAGGTTTCAATAGTTTTGCATCTAACATGATAAAACTGTCAGTTAATGAAACAAAATGGAGTAGTTTGCTAGCCAGGACCCGCGCTCTCATTCTTTATATTTCGATTTGAATATTTGATTTCGGACCCGTAAAGTTACCGGGACTTTCGAGAAACGGGCCCCTGAGCCGCTAGTTGTACATGTGGCAGGTATATACTTCAGCTGCAGTCTAAGGTCTCATTTCAGATATATCGTACGAAATTCACGCAACTGCATTTGTATACATGTTTAAATTGAAAGGTGTTTTAGCTAAATTAATGAAATGACCTAAACCGCTAACGATGCATCACTCCATTGACAGGACTGTCATTTGTGCGGGTTTCTGTCTTTCCTGAGAAATGTAACACTATGTTTCTTTTCTTTTTTTTTTTTCTTCATTGTCCATTGTCTTCGTACTATCGATTTAATTCAGACCATGTTCCTTTTCCGCGTGTTCTCGAAGAGGAAATTTACAGCAACATAAATTACGTGACTGAGTCAAAAGCCGCAGCAGATCCAAAGATCACGTATAGTCAGTCACCAGGAGCTTAAGTGACAGGGCGCGAATTTTCGTGCAATCAGGATCGATGATGTTGCCGATAAAGACACTTGAATACCGTTTGTATTCATCTTTTGTTCCAACCGTCCTCCACGAAGGTTGTACTAAAATTAAGCGCCGTAAATTTGAAGATTTTAACTCCAAGTCTTCATTGATTTCAAGTTAACAAGGATGTAGGGCCGATTGTTAGAGCAAAGGATGATGGAGGCTCCAAATGACTGCTAAGAAGAGAGCAAAAACCATGCATTCAAACATGTTCAAAGATTACGACGGCGCATTTCGCATTTCGAGGTGAGTATACTTTCCGTAATTTCTGAGTTTTATGTGAAAACTATAGTGTGGCCCTAGATTTCTTGAGGCTTTTGAAGTATTGTTTTACCGTACTGCACCACCTTGAGCGGTTTTCCTACTGTGGGAGAGCGCGATGCGATATCAGAAGCGCATTGTTTGGTGTTTAGCTTTGAAATCTCGAAATTACAGTCAAACCAGATCAAGCGTTCCCGTCGCTAACGAACTAATGAATTCATTCACGGAAAAATGATTTCGTTTGTTGATTCAATAATCCATTCATAAAATGAACAATCCAACAGTCATATTTAGCCTCGATTCCATAATCGAATGTTGATTCGATTACTGTTTTTTGAAAAATTACACTTTCCACAAGTTGACCTCAGAATTTTGTTTTTTCCTCTTTTTTTTCTGAGAATCGAGTGCTGGCGAGTTCTGAAGTTCAAACCCAAACAAACTGTTACATGTACGCCAGTTTGCTGCCAGTAATCAGTGCAACAGACCTAGGCCTGACCTCTTAGAAAACACGACGGTCAAACTGAGGTCAGTGTATGTGCGGTGATTGGTGGATTTCGATCCTCGGCCTTTGTCAGTTTCTTTGCGTTTGCGGTCTGTCTATTCTAGCTGTTATTTTGATTAAAGGCAATGAAAAACGCAATCGTAAACGGCAGGAAAAGGGAAGCAAATTCGATTGAACACCACAGACAAGAATAAAGAACAGGTAGATTTTGTTCATAAATCAAATCAACATTTGATTATTGAATCGAGGTACAATTTGACTGTTGGATTATTCATTTTATGAATGGATTATTGAATCAACAAACGAAATCATTTTTCCATTAATGAATTCATTAGTTTGTTAGCGACGGGAACGCTTGACCTGGTTTGACTGTAAGATAACCTCGCTATTTCGCCTCAAATTTTTGTTTAGGCTTGTTAGGAGAATAGCCTGAGAGGAGACAGATATATACGACTAACATTAGAAATATAAATACTGGATATAAGCTGACTGAAATGTTTTGTGAATATTGCCGTTGGTTGTTCGTTTGCTTTTAACCGCCAAAAGGTCGCGTGACATGACGTCAACAGCGAAGACTGCATTGTATCACCTTGTTGTTTTTGCAGACACAAATTGAAGCTTAAAATATTTATAGCGAATTTAATTACTTTTTAATTCGAGTGGTTTTGCTCTTTGCAAACAAAAGACGTGTATTACAAGCGTACCACCCGAACTGTTCGGGGATCGTGATGTCACGCGCGACATTTGATTCCATACATTTACTATTCAAATGATCGGTAGAAATGCTTCATAAAACACAGAATTTTGCACCTTTTGATCCCAAATGTTGATATAATGTAAGTTATCTTTATTTATTTTTCTTACATTATACCTAGTGGCTATTCGTACCGGACCTGTACATCGACTTGTATTTGATATGTAGAATAGAGATAAATCCAAACAAGAAAAATATATTAAGCTTGCCTAATTTTTATATGTGATTTCGCAGACAAAAACCTCTAATTGCACGAGGCTTAAAAAGGCTTAATATCTTTTTCATTACTTTACCTGTGTTTTGTTTTCATCATGGCCCTGGTCCACCGGCCAGGTGGTTATGTGAGGTGGTCATGCCCTCCTTTGACTAACGACACAGTCAGGTGGTTTTGCCCGCTTGTTTTCAGGGGACTCATGGATTGGAATAAAACGTGTTTTCCGAGTAATTTTGTGATCAGATATCTGAATTGAATCTGAAGCTTTCGTTTCAATACCAAGTTATAAATTCGTATAGCTGTGTTTTGTTTTCATCCTGGCCCTGGTCCACCGGCCAGGCAGTTATGTAAGGTGGTTATGCCCGCCTTTGACTAACGACTCAGTCAGGTGGTTTTGCCTGCCTGTTACTGGGGGTCATGGATTGGAATAAAACATGTTTTTTGAGCAATTTTGTGATCGAATATCTGAATAATATTGTATAGTGAAGCTTTCGTTTTGATACCAAGTTATAAAATCTTATAGTGTGTTTTGTTTTCATCATGGCCCTGGTCCTCCGGCCAGGCAGTTATGTAAGGTGGTTATACCCGCCTTTGACTAACGACTCAGTCAGGTGGTTTTGCCCGCCTGTTACTGGGGGTCATGGATTGGAATAAAACATGTTTTTTGAGTAATTTTGTGATCGGATATCTGAATTGTATACCAGTGAAGCTTTCGTTTCGATACCAAGTTACAAAGTAGTATAACTGTGTTTTGTTTTCATCCTGGCCCTGGTCCACCGGCCAGGCAGTTATGTAAGGTGGTTATGCCCGCCTTTGACTAACGACTCAGTCAGGTGGTTTTGCCCGCCTGTTACTGCGGGTCATGGATTGTACTAAAACATGTTTTTTGAGTAATTTTGTGATCGGATATCTGAATTGTATACCAGTGAAGCTTTTGTTTCGATACTAAGTTATAAAGTCTTATAGTGTCTTTTGTTTTCATCATGGCCCTGGTCCTCCGGCCAGGCAGTTATGTAAGGTGGTTATGCCCGCCTTTGACTAACGACTCAGTCAGGTGGTTTTGCCCGCCTGTTACTGGGGGTCATGGATTGGAATAAAACATGTTTTTTGAGTAATTTTGTGATCGGATATCTGAATTGTATACCAGTGAAGCTTTTGTTTCGATACCAAGTTATAAAGTCTAATAGTGTGTTTTGTTTTCATCATGGCCCTGGTCCTCCGGCCAGGCAGTTATGTAAGGTGGTTATGCCCGCCTTTGACTAATGACTCAGGTAGGTGGTTTTGCCGGCCTGTTACTGGGGTTCATGGATTGGAATAAAACATGTCTTTTGAGTAATTTTGTAATCAGATATCTGAATTGTATACCAGTCAAGCTTTTGTTTCCATACCAAGTTATAAAGTCTAATAGTGTGTTTTGTTTTCATCATGGCTCTGGTCCACCGGCTAGGCAGTTATGCAAGGTGGTAATTTTCATGCCCACCTTTGACTAATGACTCAGTCAGGTGGTTTGGCCCGCCTATAGTGTTACTGGGGGTCATGGATTGGAATAACACATGTTTTGAGTTATTTTAATTTGTGATTTGATATCTGAATTGAATATCTGAAGCTGTGTTTTAATTGTTTTGTAGAGGAGGAAAAATGTACTTGATTGTTAAGACTCTAGAGAAAAAACCTTTTTACATCTTAAACCTAAGATGTAATTATTTTGTGAATGAAATTTAATTTAAGTAGTTTACCTTAACCATGTTGTTCAAGAGAGCATTATTGTGTTAGTTCAATTAAAAGGAACTCCAAAACACTCAGTCCTATTTTCAGCCCTCATGACCGATACAATAAATTAAGAACACTTTAATATCGACTAAAACAAGTCTTGTTTTTTTTTTTTCAATTTCATTTGTCACACAGGTTGCAGCCACAAGAGGACAATATCTAGAAGAAGCAAAAAAGATGCGCCGCCATCCATTTTTACTATGGGAAAGGCATTACACCATGACTGTAAAAATACTAATAATTGGAGAGGAAGACTTCCTGCTAACTATCTTTCCCGGGTACCACCTTGCAGCTCAAACCTTGAACCTCCTCGGGCTTTGCCCTAAGCACTGATTTGTGATAGGACAGTATGCATCACTCCTAAGCAGTTAGACAGTACACACCATGGCTTGCACACTTGACCTTTCATTTTTACTTATTGTTAGAAGTCTAGCTGCTTATTCAGTGATTAAAAATGTGATTTCCTATATTTTTCAAATGCGTAATTTTTTTGCCTAATACTATAAATTGACGTAATATTACTTTTCTGTTAATGTTTTATTACCCCTATGGGAAGTGCAATTTTACACTTGACCAAGGTGTAGACCATTCACAGTTACACTGTTTGGTGTGTAAATGAACCTTCTGGTTGCGTGTCAAATTACACTATTGGACAATGTGTAATAATACACACAAAAAAAAGGCTGCCGGGGCTGGCAAAGCTACTACACTATCATTCGGTGTAATATTACTGTTCTATTAGTATTTTATTACACTTATAAGAACTGCAATTTTACACTTGACCAAAGTGTAAACCACTCACATTACACTGATTGGTGTGTAAACACAACCTCTAGTTGTGTGTTAAATTACACTATTATAAAATGTGTAATAATACACAGAAAAAAAAGGCTGCCGGGGCTGGCAAAGATTTTACACTTTTTTTTGGAGTAATGTTACACTTTAATTTTAAGTGTGAAAGAGTAAAAAATGGTGTACTAAGAGAGAAAACTTTTCTTTTTGTTATACTTGAGATAAATAAACTACCACTTAAACATTTAGAAGATTTCGTCTGCTCTTCTGCTTGTAACAATTCCGAAAAGGAAGAATTCCTCTACTGAGATTGTGGTTTGATGGTGCGTTTTGTTGCCTTGGTTTTTTCAGAATCAAAGGTTAGTGTTTAAAAAACTCCCCTCAGTCATTCTACACGATTTACATCATCCAAAACGGATAAAACCTTGTTCTGCAACAGAGCGGACATTGAATGTTGAGAACGGGGATGAGAAGTTTTTCGAAACCTTGTTTGCAGAGGTCTGACATGTAGACACGATTCTGCAAAAGTGTCAAGAAAGAAATGTTCAGAGTCTTGAAACTAATTTGTTTGCATGGTTGCCATGTTCATTGCTGCCAATATTTGATGATTCTCAGGATGATTCTCTAATGGAGCTCAGTGAGAATCACTAAGGTGAAGTCAGGTACTACTGTGAATTTTGTGACAACAACAACTGAGTCGTTCAAAGTTAATGCTTTTGTTGCTGTTTCTGAGCTCTACAAAGACAGTTTATAGGTTTATAGCATACATGATGAACCCGCATAGACAGTTCAAACATAAACAACTTGAAAGACAGTTACAATTTTTTATTGCTGATTCAAACCTGATACAAAACCAAACAGCTGCGGTACATGTTAGCAGTACATCTAGAAATTATTATAGTAAGGGTTTTGACGATTTCAACTTGTGTGACAGCAAGAAACTTAACCTTTTTGTTCTTGATGATTGATAATCATTTATTTACCCTCGGCAGTATTTATAGCACTATTAAATATCAATTCCAGCTAACGGTCAGGGCGAGACTTGATACTCTAACCGCTCGGCCACGCTGCCTCCTAGTTCCTAGTTTTGCCAGCTAGGAAAAAAACCTCATGGATTTGCTATTTTGATTGGAGTCTAACTGAACTTAAAAGCGTCATAATCTTTACTAGTTATTGATAGCTGAAAGCGATGTAACATATGGCACGTGATGAATGAAACCTTTACTTTTGAAGGCTTCCATGGCTTTCATACGACAGAAATTTGAGATCTGCTTCTTTGAAAAATACCCGAGGTTCTTTCTGCGGTAATGAACTGACGTGTTGCTCTCTACTGGTATAAAACCAAGAAACTGAAAAGTCTCTTCTGTAACAACCTTTTCCTGAGCTGGAGTAAAGTTAAGTCTATAAAGGGAGCTAACTGCATCGACTTTCTGGCCGTCGGGGCTTTTTACCAGGCATATTATTCCAAAATAAACCTCACCAGAATCAATGTTGTCACCAAATGTAAACTCGAACACTTTGTGGGACCAAGATGACGCCCATCTTATTCCTTGAATTTTGCTTCTGATGTCGAAGTTCACACCGCGATACTGTTTTTCCAGTTTGGAAACTAGTTCATCTAACCTGTAAATGGACAATTTTCTGGCCTCCATGACTTCACAGGTCTCATCCCACTCTGAAAAGTACTCATTTCTGAGTCTGTCTTGGACGGCAATTGCTTCTTGCTTGCAGACTTTCACCCTGGAAAGTGCGCTTTCCACATTTCCCTGAGCACTGTTCTCACCAGAACACCATCCTGATTGGTCCGTTAAAATCTCGTGAAGATAGTCCGGTTTTGCAGCAGGGTCAACGCCTATGGTAAACACCGAGCATGGATGAGCTTTCAGTTTTATAAGTGAGTTTTCATTCATTTTACATTTTCAATGTTTTACAATCTTTCAGATGGTATTCATATGTTCTTTTCATTCGTGTTTCCTTTCTCTTCTTGCTTATTTCATAAAAGTGTAATTGTGGTATTCAAGTTAACCCGTTACCTAAAAATTCACTGTGTAACGCGTTCTTGATCTACAGCTGACTAAACGTCAGCTGTTTTCAGTTTTCCAAGCTATCAGTCAACTACGTCATTCAGTATTGGAAAACCACAAAGCAGACTTTGAAGGAATTTTTCAGTTTAATGTTTAATCCAGGTACTAAAAGTGAATCCCTACCTTCCTCAGACTAAAACAGCAGAGTTAAACTTAAATTAAAATTAGTTCTTACCTTTGTAGTCAACCACGTGAGAATGAGTCGAAGTTTCGGTGTTTCCCATAGTGGTTTTCTCTAGATCTGGCGAACAGAAGAATAAACAATAAAAAAAAACTATCGATGGGATTTTTCCCTTGATTTTGCCCCGAATAACAATTGCAAACTAACTGAAAGATTGTCAATCACTATTCTACGCCAATCATCATTAAGACAGCTTTACTTGCCTGCTACCCAAACCAAAACTCGGTTCTGTTGGGGCGAAAACATCAAAAACAATCACTGTTTATAGATCAACTTTAAGCTTCCTAGAGATGTTTAGATTCGCAGAAATCAAAAGTCAGCTCAAAGAGTCACGGTGGCTGACTTTATCAAACCCAGCATATCAGAAACTAAAAAATCAAAAGTTTTAAGGGTGTAGTAATATTTTAAATGTCAAGTCTTTTAAGGTATTAATTGTTTCGTAGAACAGTAGAACAAAACCTGTAAGATCATATCATTTCGTACAAATATGGAGGCCGTAAATGTAGCCTCCTGTAGAACTTCCCTCTTCGTTGTCTTACTATAAAATTGATATCTTTACAAATGCACATTAGAGCCATTTGTTCTAGGAAAAACGACAAGTCTTAACTAAGACACAAACGTCCTGTTTTTACTTTAGAACGGATCAGTTCAAACGCCGAAACTTTTCATGTGCCGAACCTAATGCTAGTGTTGTTGTCGCTCATTTGCATGCAGTTCGACTCACAAGAAGTTCGACGTTTGAAGATGCCATCGTTTATAGCTATAAAATCGTTATGTATGCTAGTACTGAATGATTCCTCTTCGCCTTATTTTCCCTCGTATAAAATGATTGATTCATACCTTAAGAGCACCGCTGATTCCGTGAGCAGGGAGACCTTGAGAACTGTCAATCATTTAAAATGAAGCTTTTTAGAAATGAAACCTCGTTTGTTCCGTGTTATATTGAGGGGAAATTCCCTGCCATTAACAAGGGTCGTCCCCGGGGGGTTTCTCCCTTAAGTAAGCCATATACACTGTACACGATGCAGGTATGTGCCGCCCCCAAGGTTCGGTTTGAAAACGGGTATTATGGTTTTCAAGAACACCTAAAGGCTATAGATAACTAAGATTGTTCTATTGTTTCGCATGAAGTAACGAAAGGAAGTTTGACAAGAATCCTACAGGGCAGTTCATCATGAGCTCATTGCTCAATTGTTTCAGATTTCCAAGTTCCAAAAACTCTCACCTCCAAAACGAGGCTAAGTGCAAAACCTTTCTTGTGATAATGAGCTTCATTTGCATCAGAATATAAAATGATTTTCATATGACTGACTTTGCACTTATCCTCTCTTTGAAACAGAGGCTTGGGGTAACTCGGAAATATACAGCCTAGAGAATTCGAGCCCCTTTAGTGCCTAAGGATAGATTAATCGAAAGTGAAAATTTCAAAATTTGCAAAGATTTGTACGGAAAACGATTCAAAATTAACCGTACAGAGTGGTACAGTTCGTGTGTTAAAGCGGCAGGCCGGTATTTTGCATAACGCCGAACGCAAAATGACTCTGAGTTTAGTGTGAGAAAATTAGGTTCTATTTAGAGTCACTAGACTGGATAAACAGACCTGAAGCTTAGTTTACTCAATTTCCTAACCCTAATCACTAAACTTCGGAGTCATTCGGTGTTCTGCATTCGGCGTTCGGTGTTCTGCAAAATACCCCTGCTCGTCTTCAAGACGCCTCTTCGTCTCTTTTTATGTTCACCCTAAAATAAAGCTGGCCTGTTGATTCATACCTTAAGACTGCCGGATTACCAATGATCCAAGGAACGGTGAGGGAGACGTCGAAAACTGTTTGATTACAAAAATAGCCTTTTAGAAATAAGACCTTGCTTGCCCCGTGTTGCACTTTTCTTGGAAATCAGGGAAAATTCCCACCAATTAACTGAAAGAGAAGTGTGAGATCATCACGGAAGCTTTGAGACCAATCACTCAACTCGAGTTGCGTTACTTGGGAAATTCCCGTATTTACTTAAAACAAAGCCGAATGCGACTGTACATATTTCAATTGCCTGAATTGTTGGAGCTGCAAAGGTTACTATTTCTTACTAACTAAGCCCAGTGGTTCGACTCGATCAGACTCTACTCAAGCATGTCAGAGGTTAGTATTTGAATTTCTTGTGATTTGGTTTATCAATCAGCCAATGTTGCTAGCACATGCCTGTACTACAGGGGCAATAATTGTAACAGTGTTTTGTCGTCGCCGACCGACACTTTCGCACTTTAAATAAGAAAGAAGTTGAGCTCAGCATAAATCAACAAAAACGTAGGTCAATAATTCGTCGAATATAGCCTGGATATCGGCCTTATTTCTGATTTTCAATAATGCGGTTGGGTGGGGCTTTGGTTGGCAGAAGTACAGGTTCATACAATTAACACACAGTAAAAGAATATATTTTATAAGAATATTGAGGCTGAAATCGACGAAAGGTTATAAAGACACTCATTAAACATTAATTTCTCTAATTCTTTATCAATTATTAATGACGTTTTGAACTGTTAATAAAATACAATTGTTTTTAACTGATGTTAAAAACATAAACGGGAAAACTAGCAAGCAAACGTTAAAAAAAACTGTATTAACTAAATCGCATACGGTATAGAGCACAAGCTGTTCTGTGTTCTGGGAAATCGATGGGAAGATTCCTTTCTCACCAATCTGACCAATGAACTAGTAACGAAAACGGAAGCTCAGTGACCAATGCCCATGCTATGATATTCGTTAGCATGAATACCTTGTGTGTTGCGTGTCTTCTGGGAAATCGATGGGACGATTCCCACCAAACTCGTAACGAAAACGGAAGCTCAGTGACCAATGACCATGCTATAATATTGATTAGCTTGAATAACTTGTGTGTTCCGTGTCCTCTGGGAAACGACCATCAGACCCTACTGTCTTCTTCGGCGTTCGGTGTTCGGCGTTCTCCAAAATATCCTACCGGTCTTAAAGACGCCTCTTGATCGCCTTATGTTGATCAGGTCCTGTTGACAGTGTGTTGATTCATAACTTAAGAGTACCACTGATACAGGGAACGGGGAGACGTCCAAACCTGTTTGATTTTTAAAAAAAGTAGCTTTTCAGAAAAGAAACCTTGTTTGTCCCGTGTTGTATTTTTCTGGGAAATCGTTGGGAAAATACCCACCAATTAACTGAAAGTGAAATGTGAGATCATCATGAAAACGGAACCGAAAGCTTTCCGTCCTCAGTGTAACATTGAGCTCGTACTTTACGCATTTCAGCTGTTGAGGCTATTCAGGTTTTTACTAACTAACCGTACTGATTCGACTCGATCAGACTCTGCTAAAGCGTGTCAGAAGTTAGTATTTGAATTATGTGTGATTTGGTTTTATTATAAAACAGCCCATTTTGCTAGCACATGTTGATACAAGAGTGTATTGCCATCGTTGACCGAATTATGAATAGCAAACTTTCCCAGTTCAAATGAAGAAGGAGAGAAGTTAAGCCCAGCAAAAGTCAAGAAAAACATTAGTCAACAATTTATCGAATATAGACTGGATATTCTTTGTTTCTGATTTCCAATAACGCGGGGCTTCAGTTGCCCGAGATGCGTGTCCACACAGTGTCAGGGGCACACAGCAACGGTTTCTCCTAAAAGCATAGAAAACACTTTTTGAGCTATCCAGAGTGCTTTTAGATCTCTACGAATGCACTCTAAGAGGTGCTATACAGGGGCGGATCTAGGGGGAGGGTGCAGGGGGTGCGCAGCCCCCCCCCGAGATGACCTGCGGTTTTCTAATACAACTGTATTCTGCAAAAAAAAAACTATGTGGTTTATTGGTGTTGAAGTAGAGCAAGAGACGAGTGCACCCCTCCTAAAAAAAATCCTGGATCCGCCCCTGCTATAAAATTTGTAACTGTTCGGTCATTCTAGGGGAACTTGAGTCTTTTCGAGACCACAAGGGCTACAGTATTAATTTCCGAAAATTTTAGTATCTAAGAATTTTTCTGATTCCTCTCTCCATCGCATTTTCGAATCCGAAAATTTTAGGTTTCCTTTTTCAACGAAAAATTAAACTTTAGAAAATCGTTGGGAATTTATTAGATAAGCATCGAAGATTGTACATGAATGGAACGTGTAACGGTCATGTCCGAACAGATATTTTCCAGAAAACAGTCGTTTGGTACCCCTGGCAGGGTAGCCTTAGACACGTTTGATCATGTTGGTCAGTTTGCAAAATTTCCCCTCGGAAACAGGTACGCCTTCTTGAAAAGTGGCAGTGGTGTTACGAGCCATAGTTCCGGTCTATCTATTTTGTGAAATGAGAGAGGGAAAGTTCAGGAATGTTCGTGTGGCTTGAAAAAACAAGTTTTCTGTCCCCGGTCTTTCATTATTGGGGAGCTTAACGAACCACGACGGATACGAAAACGTCATTTAAAATTGAAGTGGCGTTGCTTCAAACTTTGTCGCGCTTATTATACCTTGCTCAATTCGTCAAGTCTTGGCAATTTTTTCTGGAGTTGAATTCTAAAAGGCTTTATCGAAGGTCGGGAAAAGAAAAAGAAAATTGTTGTCTTTTGTTCACGGCTTCCTCCACAAAATGTTAGATTAGGCATTTTCACGTTGTAGTCGTGCAGTGGCGGCAAAGAAATGTACAAAAAGCGTGACGTGCAAAGTTACTGTTTTGCCAATCTGAACCTATTGCTTTTTTGCCGTTTTCGTTGACGTCGCTGTCGTCCTTGCTTAAGCTCCCTATTAGTAAAGGGTAGTTCTCTCCTAGTTCCTTCATAATCTTTCACCCAGGTTGGATGGAACACATTTTAAATTAGAATTGAATCAAAGACAGTCTTCACCAGCATTGTAGGCTAAGTATTTAAAATGCATTCGATACATTACTCTTTTTACAAGCGTTAAACATTTTTCCAAGCCTGATTTTTATCAAACACAAAGTTAGTCTAGTCCAGGGGGTGGCGGGCTGCACTAGTCTTTGGTCGAGCAAATGCGATCGCACAAAGACGCAAAAGAACCAAGAGATGTCAGCGAGCAGATTGCTTTACTCGCATGACGTCCAAGCTTTTTGTCCGAAGGCGGAGAGCTGGTTTACAGGATAACTTTCCTTGGCTCAATAAGACGTTCAGTAAGTCGAAAATATGATCCGATTTGTGTTTTAGAAGTTTCTGGTATCGTAGCTAGCCCGACTTCACGGGAGTCCTTCGATCTTTCTCCCCCCCGCCCCCGCTTAATTTTCTGGCATCTTTTTTTCAAAATAAACCCTACCCAGTGACTTTTTCTATAGAAGAGGCCGGAATATTACGTCATATTTAAAATACGGACAGCAATGATTTATTACAGGTTAAAAATCCGAGCGCGAAGGGCGAATAGTTCAACATTTAGACTGCAAAACAGTCCGTTTTTTTCTCAAAATCAGTAAAGAAATCGGTAAAGCGTGGTGAGCCTCGCACGCCCGTAGAGTATTTTTAGCTTCTCTCCCCAGTCTCGCTCTCTGTTTTCAGCCTCATTCCAGACCTTTTGTTTGACTGCTCGCGCGTACTTGAATGCGCAAAAATACGGACTGTTTTGCAGTCTATTCAACATTCTAATTCACTTTGTCTCTCCTTGAAAAAGACAACATATATATGTATATATATATATATATATATATATATATATATATATATATATATATATATATATATATATAATATATAGACAGTAAACTTCTGTGTCGAATGAAGATACTAAAAACAATGAAAAACGAAAGTCTTCTTTGCTTTTGCGCTACGCGTTTCACCGCTGTTGCGGCTCTTCAGGCATATATATATATATATATATATATATATACTTCAAATCGATATACCGTTTTTGACCACTTCTCTAGACAATCTAGTAAAACTCTGCAGAGTTTGTAACCGTATCTGTAGTCACCCATACGGCGCTAGTGTTGTTTTGATAATTAGTTCGAGGAAAAAAAAAAAAGTTCGAGTTTTCCGGAGCTTGAGGCAATGTAAACCGAAAATAAGGAAATGCAAATACCATGCAAAATTTACTTCGGGGGAAACAAGAGATATAATAAAGATCTATTGAAAAAGGAATTAAAAAAACAAAGCTTAATCACTATACCGGACTGGACGCTGTATTTGAACTGGACTGAAAAAAAAGGCATAAAAGACAAAGAATACGCGAGTAACCCAATTACACGATTAACTCAATTTGCCATGCACTTAAAACATGGTTCGCTAGGGTAAAATTATATAGACATGATCTGGAGGGTAGCAAAGATTACTTACAGTTATCGAGAGGTTTGAGTTATCGGGAGCCGACTGTAATTTAATTCCAAGCACGTGTGTTGGCTACATGTAACTCTCGTTCTTATGAATGAAAACCGGAGTTGCAATTGAGTACGCCATATTGTTTTATGTTCCTGAGATTGCTATATTCTTCGAAAACACGCAAGCATAACATGAGTAGGCTACGCGTTGCCTCTCGTTAAGTTTAGCGTAAGTAAGACGGAAAAGGTTCACAAAGACTGAAACGCAAATACTCTAAACAGTCACTGCATAATTTAATTCAAACAGTTGCCTGACGTAATTGTTCTGTCCAAAATGTTAGAACGAGTTCAGCTCAGCTGCAAATACATTTTTGACTTGTCTTTTCCTTCTCGTTCTCGTAGATAGCTACAGATCGAACAACTAAAGCTAACAGCAAAGAGGAGGACATTAACCGAGCTTTAGTAAAAGTAAAGCAAGGTCTCCACACTGTGAAAGTTTCCCAGTTTGACGCGACCCAGGTTCAACGAGAAATTGAGGGCGAACTATTTGACAAATGGCACGAGGCTTGCGAGGTATGAGGTATTATTGATGTCAAGGCTAAAGGCCAAGCGTCCCTTATATACTTTTAATTACTTAAAACCAAAAATTTAAAACGAATAAGCTACTGACCCCCCTCCCGCCCACCACACCCATTTGAGAAGCTTATAGTCCATGAAATTTATTGTGTTGTAAAGGCTGGTTGTCATTCACGAAATTTGGCTGCGTTCAGTTCACGGTTAATGTTAATAGGTCAATCCTTTCGTATCAAAGGGATTCTACCCAAATCGTAAATTAGGCCGATTTTTGTGTCTAGAATGTTTTCTTTGAGAAATCGGAACGACAAACCGTTACGTGTAAACTACCCTTTAGATTAAGCATCACAATATCAAATACTCAGTAACCTCATACTATTACTTTTGAAAAACAGAAAAAGAAACTCGACTGCAGTTGTATTTCATTTTGTGGCGGCAGTACATGCCAAGAACACGATAATTTGTCTAATTAACTGAAATGAAAAATAGGCTTCAGTTGTCGGCAAGCCTGGCGACAAACAAATTTCTAGATGTTGCATAAGTTTTCGTTCAGGAATTCACCTTGCAAAATTTTGACCAAGCGGGGTGGGGGGAGACTAGGTTTTTCCTGGAGTGTGACCAAAAGCGTGGCCAAGCAAAAAGCAAAGCTTAAGAAATTTATTCGCAAGCCGAACACACGAAAATTCAATCTAGATTTTTACTCCAGCAACTCCGTTGGTTGCCCCTTAAATGGTTAATTTTGAGCCAAAATGAAACGCAACATACATTGCTGGAACACCCTTCCCTACCCTACTGAGTTTTTTACCCCTACTCTCAGAGTCTGTACGGACGACACACTTAAGCTAACGTCATAACCAAATTTTCTGGCATCGGTAGATTACAATTTTGTATTAGCTATTGCGCTACGCTGCACGCGTTTCGCGAGCTCGGTTGCTCCACTATATGAAAATACCACTCTGAGATCGCAGCCATCACACCTTAACCTGTCGAACGTGTGGAAAAATGAATATCTAATATTTTCATTAAACAGGTAATGGAAGCCAAAGGTATTGCCATTGAGAGTATCCAAGGCTTCCTGGATCATCTTCAGGACGCTTATGAGGGAATTGATGAACAGATGAGAAAGAAAATGAACGGAATTGCGTGGGCAAGTGAATGGGCATATAAGGTAATGGAGTTTAAATACAACGCCTCAAGTGATTCTAGTGCCAGGTACGGAATGATAGCCTTTGGCAAATCCAAAGATGGAAAGTTTGTAGACTGCATGTACTGCCTCTACAAGCTGGATTTCAAAGTTGCCCCTGAGAGAATCATCACCACAAAACAACATTCAGTTTTGTGGGGTCTGGTTAAGTGGCAAACTGTGGAACAGAGAGTACAGGAAAGAGTGCTTGGCGTGAAGTCGCTGAAACGCATCAAAAATTTCTTCCGCTTCAAGGCTCTGGAAGGTTTTTACAAAGAAGGTCTCATCGACCAAATTAATGTGGTGCCATCTATTGAAGATACGGTGGATGCCGACCAGTAGAACAAACGTTTGAGAAGGCGAACTTGGTACATCCTATTTACATTTCAATGAACTATTTCTTTTACTGGAAAGCAAGTGTATCAGTAGTTATCGTTAGTTTCACTTAAACATTTTTTTTTTTGGCTACTGTTTCTGGCACTAGCATTAAAATACCATAAAAAAGTTCTTAATCGATCTCGGGTAGATTCAAAGCAATAATTCATGTAATTTATTTTTGACTGTTATTAGCTTACACTCAACTGCTTGCACTGGGTCCTAGAAGAAAATATACTTCGTTCCATATGGAGCGAAAACAACCATTTACTGGTAGTTCAAAAGGTAATCTGGAATTTGCTGCATGTGTCCAACATATGAGAGTTACGGTCCGGTTCAAAAATTGAGGATACGATTTGCGAAACGCTCCCTATAGGTATTTTTGGCGATAAAATTTGTCGCGATTAAGCCCACTACGCACTCAAACTTCAATTTTATCCGTCGGTTCCCACCTTGCCCTCCCCCCCCCAAAAAATACAGACAAACAAACAAAACCCTCGCACCTCTTAATTCTTTCATAACTTCAGCTAATCTCCCCTTTATAAACCAAGTAGCTCGATAAATGCCCACAAGTTCTTTTTCTTTTAGCGCATGATAAACTGCCATCAAAGTTCATTGCGACGCAGCGAACTTAAAATGTGCCTTCAGCGGCAAATGATCGGACGAGAAAAACTGGTTTGGCAAGCCCTCGTATGGTTCTATCGCTTCCTTGGATACCGTCTCTACGGCAGCTGTCACTTTGAGACTCGCACAATTAAACCAGATGAAATCTAAAGTCCAAACGCGGCCTGATCCTTCATGATTTGTGAACTGCGGCTCGTTGCCCTGAAAATTAAGAAAATGTTACAAAAAAGTAGCGCACATGCCATAGGGAATCCAGCGGGCAGGAATTCTTTAACCGTTCCTGTCGCAACGGAAAAAAAAAACAGGATACCAAGGCTGGTGTTCAATAATTACTTCGCCAGCTCGTAATTCTGACTTTAAAAAATAATGTCACGTAAGGCGCCGATCTTTATAAATCGCCGACCTTGAAGTCAGTGTTTAAAATTTTGTAACCTAGCTCTAAGGACTTTACTATTAGATTGAAGTAATTCGTACTAGATCAAGTATGAGTGCGATTATTTCAAGCCGGTTATTTCTCCCAGACACTCTCATCCTTTAGTGTTACTGACAGTCATAAAGATACTTTCGTAGGCATACATGTCTTGGAACAATTAAGCATTTTTAAGAAGTTCGAAATTGGTTTAAAACTCGTACTTTCCTAAATCTTGTATTCGTAACAAAAATTTGCTTTTCATGATGGGCGGGGGTGAATAGGGTTTCCGCCTCGAAAATTTCACTCTAAATCAATATATTTTCAAAATTCGCCGATCCCTTGGCGTCTTCATGATACCCCCTCATTATGATACAAAAAGCCGTCAATAAATGTATAAATTTGGCTTAACAGAAATAGTTTTGCTTGATGTATCTTACCAGAATGGTCTTGTAGGCACTTTGAAGATTCTTAAGGGGATGGTGAAAATTTGCTTGGGCTTTGTTTAAAAGAGACATTTGATCAGGCAAGAGCTGCAAAGAAAAAAAGAAAATTGAGAAACTTTATAAGCTGGGAATTTCTGGACAAAAGTTACCATTTTATTTGCGTTTCAACCTGTTGGACAGGAAAGCAGTGGTGGCACGTCGTAAACAGGAGGAGCCCTGAACCTTTAAGTAGTAGTCAGAGAATATCAAATTGTTAATAACCAGTGATAACCTGTTCACTCTTTAAACATTTCAGTCCAGGTCGCAGGTTCAATCTGTGGGACCAAACAGATGCGTAGGTTAAGGGTATTGTTAGCTAGCCCTGAACACAAGCGTGCAAACATACTCGGATTTGGATGATTGTTGGCCATTAGGAATTGTTAAAGCTTTTCTTTTTTTTATCAGTTTGTTAGCCATGATATTGTACCAACAAGTTTAACCTTTCTCATCTTTTACCTTAGTCTGCTCCACAGCCGTTTTTAGTGTCGTCACGCAACGCTTCTCCCCACAAGAGAGTTGCGTGACGACACTAAAAACGGCTGTGTCGCAGACTTCTTTCACCTGTGATGGCTGTTCAATATCAGGAGCCCATCGGATGTACTCCACACTTTTCAGTGCCTCCATCTCCCTTACACTCAGTCTCCCTTCCTTTAAAAGCTGATAGGCGGGAAAATGGGGCTCAATATTGAAGTCCCCACAGAGAATGTGAGACACGTGTCCACCACGTGACTCGTATGACGACACTAGGTCCGCGAGGGCATTGGCAGCAAATGATATTTCACGTACTTGAGAGACCGTCTGTAGTAGATCTGCCCATATGATGTGTGTGGTTCCTGACAAGAAAAGGGTTCTAGAAATGAAAACACTGAGGAGTCACCGGCTCTCACCAGCCTCCCTCTTTTTTCTTTATAAATCTCTAGGAACTAAACAGCCTACTGCTCTTATAGCACTATATTGTTTCTGAATCCCTGGTTTATCTCCCCGGAGATAGGGCTCCTGTTCAACACATAAGAACAGTGATTTCGGCGGAATTTATGTATCGGAGCGAAGCTGCGCTATGCCAGTCTCTAAAGTGGAGAGTCACATATCGGATAGGTGTTCACACTATAAAGCGTTTTCACATGACGTCATGGCGGCCATATTGGTGTTTCAAAACAATAAAGGTAAACACTTGTTTCCATATCTCAAACCGCCCTTGGATACGTTGTGATGCCTACACAAAGTAATTTCATATATATATGAGTGAGCCTTGACAGTACTGATTAGGGTTAAGCACTGAAAATACTGATAATGAGTTAATGGTTAACTTCTATTTAAGGTGGCCCGAACCTATTTATACGTGCGTTGATTATGTTTTTGAATCTCAGTTTTCGGCAGGAACGAATTTAAGCGATTCCTATGATTTTTGGTCTCCTTAAGAAAGAATGGTGCAACTTTAAGAAAATGTTATTTATTTTCTTTTAGGGATAAAGTCGTTCAAGATGTCGGTATATGTTTAAAACCGCATTTTTTACAAACATGTGAGTATCTTGGAAACTCTTGGACAGATTTTTCTCTAATTTCCACAAATAAGTCTAAGAGCTCTCTAGTTTTATATCTGCAAGTTTGAAGTCAATCGTGACCGTAGAACTTGCTGCACAAAATGCTGGTCAAATTTAATCTTAAAATGCAACGCTAACGCATTTGTGAAAGTTGACGCACAATTAGATGAAAAGTACCGACGGATTATCCCCTATCTGCAAGGGTATTCTTACCCAAAGCTTTATTGCAAGAAACTGAGTAATCAGAAACCTACGGCGAGTACAGTTCACAATACAAGAAGAACATCTTTATGCTGAATGCGGGGTAAGATTTAAGAACTTCCATTCATCATTCAACGTACTTTGTATTTAATTGTCCCTCTCTTTTCGAAACCAACCTTAACAAAGCAAAATATAGCATCTACGAAAAACTCTCAACAGTTTTAAGCGTCGCAGGCATCCAATTTTCAGCTGCACTGAAAGCACTTGTCCTTGGTAATTTATTCAAGCTTTTTAGACTTGTCGTCACATCCGCACGGAGAGTTTACCACTTGGGGATAAAGATGAAGAAAGATACATGACAATTGTCATATTTTTCTCATTATCCCCAGTGGCAAACTGCCCGTGCGAATGTGATGGCAAATCTAACAAGCTTGAATAAATTACCAAGTACAATGGTTTTCGTTGTAGCTGAAAATTGATCGGTTGAAGTCCTAGAGATGGTGGCTGTATTTCTCCTCAAGACGGGAACCTTCGGTGCTAAAAACAGGTAGGCGATTCCTGTAGATGCTATATTTTGCTTTGTTGAGATTCCTTTTCAAAAATTAAGAGAAGGGCAAAAACACAGTAACTTTGATAAATAGAAGTTCTTTCAGTCTGCCCCGCATTCAGCATTAACTCGTTCTTCTTGTGTTGCGAATTGTACTCAGTTTCTTGCAATGAAGCTTTGGGCAAGAATACCCTTGCAGATAGGAGGTAGTTCGTCGGCACTCTTCCTCTATTTGTGCGTCAACTTTCACAAATACGTTAGCGTTGCATTGTGAAGTGAAATTTGACCAGTGCGCATTTTGTGCAGCAAGTTCTACGGTCACGATTGACTTCAAACTTAGAGAGCTCTGAGGCTTATCTGCTGAAATATAATAGAGAAAAAATCTGTCGTAGAGTTTCCAAGTTATTGACATTTTTTGCAAAAATGCATTTTTAACATATGCCGATATCTCGAACGATTTTATACCTAAAAGAAAATAAATAACATTTTCTTAAAGTTACACCATCCTTTACTAAGGATGCCAAAAAATCATAGAAATCGTTGCTGCCGAAAAACGCTATTCAGAAACACTGATCCGCGGTTTCGTGAACGAAACGCTCTTGCATTTTTACAGTCTTCACTTAAAATGGTTTCAGTCTTCAGCCAACTGCGAACCCTACCGCAACTTGTCGCTGCTACTAAATGTACTGTTTTTAGAATAAACTTTAATCTCTCGCTTTAAGACGGCCTCTATAGACGTGTACATATCAGCAGCGACGAAGAGTAACTTGGTCGTGATGTTTACTTCTCCAGCTTTAAAATATACGTGACTTCTTATATCCACAATTCCCGCTGGAATTTCTTCCACTGGGAAATTTGGGACTTCTCACGACGTTTTACCGCGGCACGGCTCTAGGTTCAGAATCTCAAGATTTTTGCTCTTAGCGGTTGGGAAGCCCGAAAGTTAGGCACCCCATGATGTCTACACAGAGGGTCGTACAGGGGGGGTCTCTCGCACGGTTCACGAACAGAAAAAACAGCGAATCACGGATCACGGCTATCAAAATTTCATTTTCCCGAATCACGAAAATAAACAAGTAAGGTACTCGTTTTAATAACCTTCTCTTACGGTAGAAAGAGTGTTTGAAGAAAGCAAAATCGTTAAAGGCTAAGTAAAGGCTGCTTATCGGAAATCACATACCTAAATCACCCTCGATGGACGACTCTGACCATTTGTCCACTTCGCTTTGTAACTGCCCGAAGAAAAAACAAATCGTCTAAAGAATCTACCTCGTAATTGTAAGCAATAGGATATTCAGCGTCTGAGTCAGTGTCATACTCTTCCTCCTCTTCTACCTCGGCTTCCTCTACTACTTGAACATCTTCAATGGCCTCGTGCGATGTAGAAGGCGTAACAGTCGTAACGGTCGTAGCAGAAGTAACAGTCTCCTCTTCGACAGTGTTAGGGCTGAATGAGACTTTATCTTTAGGATAGTCTGATGTTCTGTTCCTTTCCAAGAAAATTAAGCGAGCCGACAGACTTTGGGTCAACGTAAAATACAATACATTCGACCCTCATCGTACTATACGTACTCGTCCCCTCCATGTCTCAGATGTTTCGATGTTTTGGATCACTGTCCTTTGACCTCCAGTGACCATAGGCATAGGAATAGACATCTGATCCATGATAGGCATGTAAAGCACGTGAATTTGCACAATGGATTACTTTAATTAAAGCGAAGTCTGTTACTTGTCACATTTGATGTTTTCAGTCTTAAAATAAGTCTTCCGGAGCACTCGCATCTCAAAATCACGCCAAATAGAGTGGTGAAATCACGAATATCGGTTAATAATTCAAGTTCTTCACGGGTCACGCAAAACCTTCAGATTCCGGATCACGAAGAATAATTTATTAAATTCACGTTTCACGGAAAATAAAATCAGCCAATCCCACATCACGGGAATACCCCTGTACGACCCTCTACACAAGATGATTCCTTGTATAGAGTGTTTTCACATGACGTCATGGCGGCCATATTGGTGTCCCAAAACAACAAAACGGCGGCCATGTTGGTGTCCTAAACCAATCCTGTGGGAGTTGAACTCTTTTCTTATGCAAACGCTTTCTTTTGTTCCAATAAATTTGAATAGATGCTGGCCATGTGAGTGAAAACACTCTATAGGAGTGAGCGCACTCAGGGCGATTAGGGTGACAATTAAACAAATTATGGGAAAGCAGGATCATCAAGGTGATAGAGAAAACGGCAAATGTCGGTTTGTACCATGTGCACAAGAGTTGCTTTACTTGTCGCTTACCGTTCATTACGTCCACAAAAAAGCTAACAGTTTCACTCTCGTATTGTGCAAGTTTTATCTACTCATTTCCTATTTTGAGAAATTGTCAAATTGAATCTGGCGTTTACGGTGAACGTGAGGAGAATAAAAGCGAATCCAGAATCCCCCCAATCAGCATTCGTTTTTCCTTCCTCTCCTACCCCCAGGGTATCTACTGCTCGCAGGCGTGGTTAACAACCCATACGCCAAAAACCAGAAGCATTGTAAGCTTCTGGCCAAAACAGAATCGGTAGGAGAATTCTTTGGCTTTGCGAAATGAGAGATAACGTAAGATTGGGTTTAATTGCCATATTTATTTTATCATCATCGTTATTATTATATCATTACTATATAATTATTACTTTAAAAACTGTACAAACATTATCAAGGTATCAGTAAATTATGGTTTGTTTCTCATAAACAGGCAAAATCGAACGATAAAATCCAATGTTTCAGACAGTTCCGCGATTACAGTGAATTAAGAGCACTAAAATTGTCTCAATTTTGTTGTCCATCTCACCACTCTTAGATTATAAAATAAAACTCGAGGTCTGAACAAGAGAACTCTAGGTGCGAACATTTTTACAACCTTCCCTGTTTAAATAAAAACATTATTTGTTTCATCATTTATAACACGACAATATATAGTAAAAACCCGAAAATCAAGCTGTCAATAACTTCACCGGATCACTGGTTCGAAGGAAATTTTGTCCTTTTATTTTATAAAAGTGTTGTCATAATTAATACTTTCCTAGTCATTATATGTCAAATCGTACGTACATGAAATCAGCTTTGTAAATGCGTCTGCAATGGCACGGCAAATTTAAAATGTCCTTTAAGTGACAGGTGATCGGACGGAAAGAACTGGTTTGGCATGCCCTCGTATGGTTCTATAGCTTCCCTGTGTACCGTCTCTAGGGCAGCTGTGGCTTTAAGATTGGCGGAATCAAACCAGATATAGTCCAAAGTCCAAACGCAGCCTGGTCCTTCATGATTTGTCAGCGGTGGCTCGGCACCCTGATAAACAAGAACAAATTAGTAAGTAATAAATGATAGTGGTAGGGCAAAGAAAATCAACTCACTCTTCGAAGAAATTTGACCAGGCGCCAAACGGCGCAAGGGAAAATGGGACGGTTACAGGCTAATGCGAAGGGTCATGGGAAGGGTGAACCAATTAAGGTGCCTTGCGCGCCTCAAAAAATCTTCCACGGTGCGCTTGAGTACGACACAGACTCGAACCAATGACTCCCAGAATACCAGTTGGGCTGTCCGCCCTCTAAGCTAAGGAAGAACTGTTAGGTGCCCTCTTCGTACATTCGCGACTGGTTTCGCTTTGAGCTCAAGCCTGTTCCAGGCGGTCATGTGGTGGATTGCGGTACCAAATCAGAGAACGGAAAAAATAAGGAGGAAGAGAGGGGGAGGGTCACCCGTACCTCAGCCCCTCCCTGTTTTTTTCTGCTCACATCTCTGTGCACCGTCCCAACAATCTAAACGCCTGGAACAGGATATCGACGCTCGAAATCAGATGTAGAGATTGCTTGCAGACCACCAGACTGAGATGCGTCTCTTTTAGGAGCTTATTTCTAATTTTCGTATAAGGATCCTCGTTATTTTTATATGAGGGCCAAACCCTCTTAGACAACAGTCGCCGAAACAGAAGCACCGCATGAAAGCAACACTAATGCGACTGTAAGTAAGCTACAGAATCCTTACCAGAACTGTCTTGTAGGTACTTTGCACGTTTTTGAGAGTATGATGAAGATGCGGGTTAGTTTTGTTTAAAAGTGACATTTGATCGGGAAGCAGCTGCGAAAAAAGAGAGAGAGAGAAATCAGTAAAAAATTTGTAATAGCAAAAAATTCCCTAGCGCTTAGAATTAATGCAAACGAATTGTGAGCTTTTATTGACCGGTATAGAAAGGGTTGAGCAATAAGACTAACAAAACACTATTCCCACACGAGTCCATTCGAGTTTGTAAATGCGTTTACAATTCCCGTTCAGTGTGATGCAACTTTTAAGAGTGAAAAAGTTAGTACAGTCAACTACCTTGGGACTAGCACTTAAAAAAGCTTTACGCAAACATACATACACGCGTAACCAGCGCATTTTTGTTGTTGTTGTTTTTTATCTGGCTGAATAGTCCTGATTAACAGTGAAATTGTCTTATACGGTTATACGGGTAGACTGATCTGGTGAGGCCCTTTTTGAGTCTCCAGAAGACAGAAGTTTCTCTAAGACGGACATTTATTGCCGGTCCCAAAAGTGCCCCTTGTAAAGAGAGTGATGACTGCCAATCAATCTTATCACCGGTAGATGCTTCTGTCTCTGTTGTCTGTTCTTTTCAAGAGAATGGAGCTAATCACTTCACTGAGATCTTACAAGAGCTGCTATGTAGCTCTGCGCATAGTCTTCTCCTGTGGGGGGACTTCTCAGCACAGGACACTCGAAAAAGCGCAGAGCGAGGAACGCCATGACTAATAAAACATCCTATGGTTTTTAATGTCCCCTTTTCGGGCTCTGGTACGCTAAACAAGAAACAAATACTAAATACAATACCTGTGTAGGCGGTGTAGGGCTAGGAGCCCATCTGATGTAGTCCACACCTTTCAGTGCACGCATTTCCTTTTCACTGAGTCCACCCTCTTTGATAAGCTGATACGATGGGAACTGAGGCTCAATATTGAAGTCTCCACACAGAATGTGAGACACGCGTTCACCACGTGACTCGTATGACGTAACCATCTCCGCCAGGGCATTGGTAACGAATGTTATTTGACAAGCTTGAGTGACGGTTTGTTGCAAATCTCCCCAGATTATGTGCGTCGTTCCTACCGGGAAAAAGGAAATCGTATACCTAAATATTTATAGACTACGATCAGTCTCTTTTTCTTGGTCCGTCTAGAGCAAAACGCGCGAGACACGCAAATGACCACGCGCGTGACTGCTACCCTCGCTCACGCGTGCACTTCCCTCATTAAATCTGAAGAAAAAGACTCATCGCAATCTAAACTGTTTAAGTGAAAACATAGCGTGATAAGATTTACCATGGAAACCCGAGTCGAATTTTACGGACAATTCCAGTACTTCCAGACTTAAATACAATGATGTTTAATATTCCGTGTTGAAAAACGAGGTAAGGATAACCCATTTGCGCGCTGAGAAAACTTTAATCCTTTGGTCGATCACCGGACACTTACCGAGCCCTTTACATGCCAATGGAAACAATGGTCAGCGGTGTTTTGAAAACAAGAGGCATGTACACACAGATAAGGCTCCAGACCTGTCATGACTACGTTTACGCTAGGAATGTCATGCAACGACTACAGTGAAAGCACAGAAGAGGCGGACACTCCAGGTCATCAGTCGGTTACTAAAACGAAGTCAAACTGAGACCACGGTTTTACCGGTCTTAAACAGTAAACTTTCAGATGTTTTTAAATGTTTTCCTGTCATTTTCATTCGGTCATTCCGGAGAGTTTTACAAAAGCGAACCGCAAACTCGTATTCGGGGAATCATTCCAGTTCTCTAGCGTGAACGTAATGAAACGCAGTTCAACCCAGCTATAAGTATTCTCACCAATCACTAGCAGATTATCGCTTATTGTGTGCTTCAAGGCTGCAAGAAGCCCTATTTCGGCATCGCTTTGCTTAAGTGAGGGCGGGACCTGCTCGTTTAGATGCACGGTTTTTGTTTCTTCCAGCACGAACTTGTCCCGCTTGTAAAATATGGCCAAACCTTCAGGCTGACCCGGCTTGCACTTTGGCGCAAACATCCCCTGGTATCCCATCAGGGACATTTCATCTGCCAGGATCCTCTCAAAGTAGGGTGTGTCGACTTCTTGAAGGCACATGATGTCGCCGTTAAGCCACCGCAACTAAAGAATAAACCAGGTTTAGCAGGATGCCACGGCGTGTGCGAACCCATGGCTTTACTTATAGCGATCAGTCGACCGCTGGGAACCGATGATATATAAAACCTTTTTAAATAAAGTATTTGTCAGTGTAAAGCGGGAACTAAGACAAAAAGGCCACTTTAAATCACTCCAAAAATTTCGACTAGTAAACTGGTCTTATTCAGACCTGAATCCGGTAGTGCCAGCCTTGCAATTATCACGTTATTATGAATCTCAACAAAAAAGCGATCCTACATACAACAAGAACTAAGTATCCACTGAGTATTAATCTAAGTTTTGTGCCTACATTCAAAGCTCTCATTAAACTCTAGGGGAGAATATAGGCTATTAGTTAGTCAGCACAGTCATTTCATACCAAACCACCCAATTTGGCACCTTGAATCCCATTCCCAGGGTCCTTATCTGCCCGTCCCCGGAGCAAGTAGGAGAGGACCCTGGGAACGAGGTTGGTACATTGTACGATGCATTCCTGCTTTTGGCCTTGTTAGCGCTCAATGCATGCTTGAATGATACAAAACAGATATGGAAGGACTACAGTATGTAACAGTTTCATCAACAAACGAACAACCTATTTAGCTAACAATTTATGACATTTTTCGGCCTCTCTTTCCTTTGGGAGTCGACCCACCCGGCACTTATGGCCAAAAATGCGTGCAATGGCGGAAATGGCGAAAAATCGCCAGAGGGCTGGCGATTTAAACTGGACGCCAAAAGTGGCCTCTTGGAGAGTGGCAATTTTGGCGAAAATGGCGAAATTTCTGGACATATCTCCCATCCGGGCAATTAACCACATCGAAGTCTACAGATAAATTTTGCCTACCTCTTCCATGAAAAGCGTATGACGAGGAGCATTCATGCACTGCTTGCTAATCTTGTATTCGTTAGGACAGTAATTGTAGGCTGTGCCTTCTTTCACTTTCCTCTGCAGCCAGTGGTCTGCAAGAATGTTATACGTCACTACTGTAAACTCGTGTTCACCAGGTCCAGACTCATCCACGCGCTTGAGAGCTCTTCTAGCAAAGGGGACTGGTAATGGATTCATCATGATGCTCTGTGAAGTGAAGAGAAAATAATCTTTTTATTATATACATTTTGAAATCACTGGTGATGCCTGCAATCTGATTGGCAATCAGAAGTGTGATTTATTCACGAAGCACGCTATTTTTTGCTCTAAATCACATCTGTTCTACTGAAATCTCGTCATTCAGGTTCAAAATCGCATCATTTCTGTTTTATATCGCACCGTTCTTGCTCTATGTCGAATGGAAAATGAGAAGTAAAAGCCCTTTTGTTTTCGCTTTTCAACAAACCGGCTACTTGATCGATAAAATATTGTTACTCACTGAATTCTGAATTTCGTGTCATGCAATTTTAGTCCAAAATCATGCTTGTGACTTCAAATCGAACTGGTTTTCAAATCACGCGCATCCGATTTCATACCAAATTGCACTCCACTCAGTTCAATTACCATTATATTTATTTATTCCGTCAAACATAAGAAGCTTGCGCGCAGTTGTTCGTTCCACGCATTCAGATAGTGGAGTGTAACGGGAAGTCTGGGAAATTTCCTGCTACAGCCACCCCCTCCCCTCAGAAAATCTCCGTTTTTTTTCTAAGGGGAGGGGGCAGCTGTACACAGGCTAACATCTCGCTCGCTCAATGTAAAAATCTGGAATCTGAAATCCGGAAAATGTTTGCTTGTAGAATATGAAATCCTAGGCTTTGGAATCCAGAATTCAGCCCAAGCAGGAGCGCATCAAATGGACTCCTGGCCCAAGGGATTGTTCTGTAGATCAGTTTTCATTCGGCGTTTTTGAAAATTTTAAGTTAAAAATTTGTGATCTTAAAATTACCGCCATTGTTTTGATTCGCTCGTTATTCTTTGTCCCTGCAGAAGTGAAAGGTCCCTCGGGAAACCAGTTAGTTTGTTTTCCCTGCTTTCCCTATCCACCTTTACAACTTTTACATGCCGTGTAAATAAAAACAGTCAACATAATAATTTTTGCAAAGTTTTTTTACAATGTGCGTTGAAAAGGTACGAAAATCCAGAGGGGCTTCCCTCGAGCAGCCTCTCTCTGAGCACCCTCTGCATTTTCGTTCCTTTTCCATGCACATTTCAAAAAACCTTTGTTCGTTCCTTTTCAATGCACATTTCAAAAAACCTTTGTAATCAATCGACCATTTGCATTGCACAGTATCTTCCAGTTTTTTAACACTCAACATAATGTTGTGCATCTTAATTTACACATCATGAAAAGGATTTTTTATCTTCTCTTTTCCTATCATGATTTTGAACAGCTTTTGGACATATAAAAAAATCAAGCCATCAAACGCCGTGATTTTCAAAGACGCTTGGTCTCCTGGGATTGGCGCATAGGTATACACACGGTTAACACGTACGTCCACGTCATGCGATTGACCTTTGTAATGTCATAATCGTACGACCGCGCGTCACGGATTGTCACGTGATAAAAAGTACATAAGCAATGATCAATCCGGAGATTGTTTCTCTTGCTTTTCGTCGCCAACTAGCGAAGTTGAATGATTGAATGGAGGTTGAACTAGTGCAATTTTCAGGCCTTTCACTCCTCTTTTAGCGCTCATGGTGGCTTCTAAACCAAAGCAGTCGATTCTCCAATGAAGCAAGTTATTTGTAAACTTAAAAGATTTCATTTTCTCGTCAAATTTGGGTAGTAACTTCGCTGAAAGAGCGAGCCGGCTTATCGAAGAACGGTCGACTTAGTTGTAAACAGTCTCTTTTCCAAATGCTCGACGATATTTCGTTCCGAAATCACTCAGTAATCTGATAGCTTTATTGCCAGGTAAAATTCTGCATTTGGTTGAAAAATTCAGGACTTTTATCACAAGAAAGCAGGTTTGTTAATTTGGAAACCATTCTTCGATAAGCTTTATTCTTACGTAACGCGTTATCCGAGATAAATTTTTAAAATCTCTGATACCTTACTGATGAATTACACGAAGGAACAACAGCATTTTCTTAGTGATTTGTGAACTGAAAGAAAGTTTAAAACGGCTTCAACTATATCAATTCAATGCCGGCCGGCGAACCTTAACTAGCGGGGGATGTAAGAGAAAGGAATTGCTACGCTTACTTGAATTAATCCAAGAAGTAAAAGTGTTTACAAAACATTTCACTGACCTATTATTGAAGCTTTCCAGATGAATTGTGTGGTTATTTTTAAGACGAGTTTCTTTGATGAACGGCTGGCCGGTTTCGCGCTGAATCTTTTTTGTGTCGAAGGATCGGAATATCAAAAACCGGTTTGACTGGCATTGTGCCCGCGTTGTAGCAGTTGCGTGACAAAAGAAAACCGCATTCACTCTCGCCCACATTTGTTTGGATTGAATTGTAGAGTTTACTATGCATGCAGTACAAGAACCTGCTGCGACAAAGGAAAATACTGGTTTGACTCTAATTTTCGATTGACTGTGTCGGGCTTCTAAAATTACATGTGTATTAAAAAAAGGATCTGAGAAGTCTGAACGTTGAAGACCAAATACAGTCAACTTCCGATAACTCGAGAGAACATCGATAAAGTAGCTTTGTTTCTAGACTACCTCACGAGTTTCTTAGCGAGCGAAGCGGCCAAGCGTGAAATATAAAATCGGTCGAAGGACTTTTTGTTGCCTAATTCATTATACTTCTCATTTTCGGTTGCTTGCTTCGAACTCCCGATAACTCGAACCCTTTTTATAGAGTCGACTGTGCAAATTATATTTGTTTTGTAATCCGACTAGTTTGTGAATGATGCGGGTGATGCAGAGTGATCGATATTGATATCGATAAAAAAAATCTATGAAATGCGCTGTTTTCTGCTTTCCCCGCGTTGCATTACTTTCTTTCGAGCGATGGAGAAGGCTTTAGGGAGATACATGTATTGGAAACACAACCTATTTTCTCATTATCGGTCCCCGAAGGACGTTTACCAGCCTTCTGTTTCGATCAAAAGCTCGCATTTTACATGACTTACCTTGTAATTTTAGAATAAATATGCTGGCCAAATTTGTGTGTCTCCGGAAAAAACTGAGCCTTTTATTTATTAAATACAGCCAAACTACCGGTAATCCAATTGTGTGACGACACCGTGCTATAAAACGTGACGGAAGTACATACACCGAAAGTTTAATCTCACGAACATGTTCCAGTGCATGTCTACTCAATGATTGACGTCTTTGAAAAGAGAAGTTTCGTGTTTGCGATGTGGTTTATAATCGGAAGAAGTATATTGCGTGAGTTTAAATATCCAGTTAGACTGCAGTAAGAAATGGGAATAAATCATTTACAAGTAGAAGATATCCTTGTTTTGACAGAGGAAGAAGAAACATCGCCGTTGTTTGTGAGACCTCGTTCTGTTCAACGTTTTGAGGTTCGTAAAATACTGTGTAATTTTCCGAGTTAACTCAGCGATGTTTATTCAGTAAGAGGCTTCCATTTTACTCTAAGTATTGATCGTTCATGAATAGCTTGAAGCTACGTTGGAAGATTTCACCCAAATATTTAAACGTTGACAAGTACTAATCAGTTCGAAATTTGAGAGAGGAACTGTAGCTCTTCGTACATGCTGTCCTTCTTGTTTCTACGCAGAGTTACAGGTCCGTGCTTGTCGACTTCGCTTGCGGCCAGGCTCGCGGCGGGAAGAGCACAAAACCAATTTTAATTTTGAAACATGTTGATTATGTGGTTTATAATTCCTCCCAGTCAAGCCAATTTTAAGATGTTTGATTATTACAAGATCCTCAACTCGTACTGCTTCGATTGATATAAAGGGGGAAGAAAAGGGGGACGGGGGAGGGAGGGGACAGTCCCATTTTCTGCTCGGTTCGTCTCACTTACGCAGGCTGCCTAACTTTTCGTAACTCGCAGCAGGCGCCACTTATATTTTTTTAGGCCATGCGAGGCGATCACGCGAGTGGGTGAGGAAGCCTCCTCTCCTTTTCTCCTCGCGCGCTCCCTCGAGATTTCTTCCTGCGCCACAACAAAACCGGCGCCGCTATGCAGGCTAGGACACAGGCAGACCACCTTCTCTTCGTGTGGCCTTTATTGTCATTGAAATCTGAACATCGAGTAACCAAAATACAGGTGAACATAAGGCGGCTACAATATTGAAATCAGTACTTTCAGAAACAATCATTTGTATGTTATAGAAGAAATACAGTGTAGGAAAAGGATTCACTTTTACTGACTTCCGGTAACAACGGCCACGCACAAACAGAGGAGTGGCTTGCCTGTGGTTTAATTATTTTTTTTCCCTTACCTATTGCTCCCGGTGATCCTCATCGTGAGGGGTGTGAGCAGAACGGGTAGATCTAAATTTAGGATATGGCCGTACCAGCATATGTGGCAGCAATCTTGCCACCATTAACTAGGATTATTGTTTGGTTACTGTCTTCCTCAGATTTTTCCAGGACGCATTGGAATCCAATGGAAGGTCTTCCGTGTAGTATTTTCCGCATTGTATCCAGTCGCTCACGCAACCATTGTGGTATCTCTGATCTCGTTCTTTGTCACAGCTTTCAGCTTCGCCATCAACTGCGCGTTGGAGATAACCTTCGAAATGATTTCACCATTAGGAGACGATGACGTGACTGATCAGACATTTTACACCTTCTGTATGTTTGTACTTCTCTGTTGTACGCTGTTTTTAGTTTGCCTGGTATGTTCCCTCTTTTGGGAAATCATAAAAGTGACGGTAGTCAAGCGAACGCTTAAATTCCGAGTCGCAAAAGTGACGATTTTAATGATAATTCTGCTAATCGCTAGTATTTACGCAGGTTGCGCTAAACCGAATTATGGTGTCTTAGGATTCCTTGAAAGTTCTGTCGTGGTTTCCTGGTTTGCGGCGTTCGTACTCGCAGTCCTGGGCTCGATTGGCCTCCTTGCTTTTTGCTACAGAGAACAAAGCCATGAACTCTACGCCGTAGCACTTCTTCCAATGTGCGCGGCGTTTCTCCTGTTTTCAATTCTCTCCCCAGTTTCCTTTACTCTCGTGGGCGCATCGAAAGCTGCGGTGTGTTTTTCGTTTTTTTATCCTTTTTCCACCGCCTGCCTTACGTTGTACGTTTGTTTCCGAGGTTGCAGACGACCGAACGGTGAATACTTCATCATAAAAAAGCGGTTCGCCTTTCTGTTTGTCATTGCGTACATCGGGGTTATCGTGCTAACTCTAACATCTCGCCCTCACTCTGACGGTAAAGACTCCTGTTTCCCATCGCTGAATAACCACACCAGAATGAGTAATGATTTTGGTAGCAAAGCAGAAAGAGGCTCTCGCAGGTACCCAATCTGTGGAAACACTTGGACTCCCTTGCGTCTGAACATCGCAGATATTGCTTATCTCTCATCCGTCGCTTATCAAGACAATTTGACCAAAGAAGAGGTCAATCAGTCTGTTAACACGTATTTCTCCAATCGAGGAATCCAGTGGAATGTTACGTACATATCTCAAAAAAAATCTTACGTTTTATCACGTGTTCGAGGCCACAGAACGAGTTCACGTTATCAGCATACGAGGGTCGCAGAGCACTGGTGACTGGATTAAAAGCCTAAAATTATGGAGCGAGATTATTAGTTACCAGATCACCGCGGTGGCACTTCCGGTCCAGACACTTCCGTTAAGCTTCGTGACATCATTCGTGACGGCTGCGTCTTTCCTAGAGCGCCTCATGCACCACAATCGCGAAGATTTTGCTTTTAGTTCATTGGAATCATATTTGAGTAAGCACTTGATCAATGGAACAGTCGATCGTGATATCAATATCATACTAACAGGACATTCACTCAGTGGTGGTTTGGCAAAGATCTTGGGAAGCCGACTCAAAATCCCAGTGGTATCGTTCTCGAGCCCCGGTGAACTTCACATCCATGGTAAGATGGGTTTTACCTTGGACGACCTACAGCGTTACACCACGTCGGTTGTGTCACGCAATGACGTGGTCACGTGGATTGATCGTCACGGTGGACTGGTCCAGTATATTGGCTGTAGCGCACAAAGAAACGTACCATGTCATAGTATTGTTAACATTTACTGCGAGTTGAAGGAAGGGTGTGGCTTTGATAGTCCTATCAAGTGCTAATACTCCGTAAACTGCTTCTTACACCCCCCCTCCCCCCCCAGTTATAGGCCCATCTACCTGTAAACAAAGAGATACATCCGATTATACCCCCTCCGGATATAAGGCCCTCTCTACTACAATCTTGGACAAAATAAATGGAAAACCTTAACTCCCCCTCCCCCCAAAATCAATGATGGGAAATGGCGCGTTTTTGCCCGTCGCGCGGCATCAGCCTTGGTTTGGGCGGCTTGCTGTTCCATTTTATTTTGTCCAAGATTGTAGCTTGTATTGAAATGAATCCTTTGTTACTATGGTAGTAAACCATGCAGTAAATTAATGCAAAATTCTTTCGGATCAGCCCTGTTATAGCTTGTTTCGAAGCGCGTTTTCCATTCCAGATATAAGCCCCCTGCTTTTAATAAGCTCTCCTAATTAGTTTTACGAGCCTGCGAGCGCAGACATATTTTAAATTCATCGCTAGCTTCTCTCCACCCGAAAGTAACGTCGCTAATGATGTATAGGCTAGCCTGCGAATACAGCCGCTTTTCGTTGCTCTTGGCCGCTAGGGACGTTTCGCCAACGTCTCTAGCGGCGAGGAGCATGCAAGGAGTAACGGCTGTATTCGTAGGCTATATACAGCTATTTCGAGAAAGGTTGTCTGAAAAAGTGCACGAGACAATCCCGAAAGGTATTGTGGGTGGTTTTTAGTTCACTGTTCTTCAAAGAAATTTGAAAGAATGACAAGAGGGGCCATGGACATATGTCTGCGAGTGCTGAAGGAAACTGAGCAAAAAAGTAGGTTCGACAGCTGCAGTGTGAGGAACAGCATATTGATCAAATCCCATATTACCTTTCGGGATTGTCGCGTGCACATTTTTCCGACAACCTTTCTCGAATTAGCTGAATACACTTTGTATAGGCCTAGGACTTATACACGTCAGTTTACGGTGGATATCCACTGCGGACGGAGCTGGAGCCTGAAGGACGTGATTATGAATTGAGTCAAGTCTAATGTTTTAGTGAAGAGAGCTTATAATAAAAACTTTACCTCTTAATGCGAGCATTAACTCAAGAAAGTTTTGGAAGAATTTAATCAGGGAAATTGTCACGAACAAGAGAAACTTTAATACTCTGGACATCGGTTTATGAGCAAACTTCAATTAAAGCTGGTGCCCCTGAAAATAAAAGTAGAGATTTTATGATGGAGGAAAGTTGTGCGTTATACCACGAGAAAGTATTTTATAACAAGTTTATCCCATGCTACTCACTAAATCATGACGACATAAACTGAAAATGAACTGGTAGCCTGCGAATACAACAGTACCGGCAACCGCCTCTCTTGGTTCCTCGCCCCTAGGGACGTCTCTCACCCCCGCGAAACGTTCCTAGTGGAGAAGCGTGGAGAGACGGCTGTCCTCTTCCTTGTCCCTTGGTGCTTTCGGCTCGGTCAAACCTGGACTGTATACCGTGAGCTGTGACGACACCGAGAGAGACTAGCCCACCTTTTCCCAGACTTTGCGCGGACAACAGGGAAAGAGAGAAAGCCTAGGGACTAGGCTGGGCTGTAGTAATTCACAGGCTAGTAACCTGACAAAATATCATCATAAAATAAACCATTTGTGCAGACCACACCTCGTTTATTCGAAGGTCCCTTATAAAGTTACCCTTGAATACAATCCAGCTCAGTCAACCCGCCAAAGATCAAAGACAGCACATCATGAAACGTTCGGTTTCAAAGCCAAACTATCGATCAATTCAATCGGCAAGGTCTCTGTCAAAACCTCTTTTTCTAAGACTATAACTGCTATAAGCGTCTAACGAATACACTGTGAGGTCACTAATTTCTCAGGCACAAGTGTTTTACAAAAAATCGTTAATGAGATTTTCTTCTCTGACCTCTCTCATTCCCTCTTGCACTTACCCGGCACCTCGTAATGTCTTCACTTTTCTTATCCTGAGAAACCTTTTTTTATAGTTTAAGGACCTCGTACTTTCGTAGGCAAACGGTATTTCCCTTTATTTATTCCCTCATGCAGAAGACCAATGTTTTTACTTCATAACTTCAAAGAGCTTGAAATAACACGCTCTTTTGGAAAACATGATCCGTCGTCAGTCTACTTCGAAATTTAGCGAGAATGTAGTTATCAAATGTTAGAACCTTTATCATTTTTTATCGGTAGGGGGCTCAACTTCCTTCAGTATAAATAATCGTACTAACTTTTTTGGTGAAAAATAAAGTAAAATGAAGCTTTCCGGGGTGTCTTCTTTTTTTTTCTTTTGAGAACGCGCGCAAAACCTTTAAGTTAAATCTCGTACTCGTACTTGTGTGCAAATCTAAAGCTCTTTATTATGAGTTTGAGTAACACTATCACTATTTATTGCTTATCAAGAGCTTGCTCAGGAAAATGGGTAAAAATTCGTTCCCCAAAACAGTCCAATTTAACCTAACAACGACCTGTTCTCATGCGCTACCTCAAATAAAGGAGCAAGTCGAGCATGCAGTCGCCATTTTAGACACGGGAAAGAAACTGGACCAAATTAACTTTCGCAAAGATTTCTGGGACTGTTATTGGGGATAAGGAAAAAATTGGCCGATGGGTGACCAACACTTCCCCGGTAACGACCCCAGAAACCATTGCAGGACGCATGTCGGCTCCAGTTCCCTTCTCGCTCCGAAAGTGGCGATTGCCCGTTTGCCGTTTAGATGTACAGTTGACACTTGCCAGGCGTTATGGTAATTTTTTTCACAGCTTTATTGGGTGCTCCTCCAGTGATATACAATATAAATTTGTAATACAACACACACACACTCACACACAAAAAAAGAAGAAGCAAAAACCCAAAAGGGGTAGGTGCAACGGGACTAACATCTGTATAGCCGGATATAGCCTGAGAAAACAGCCGACATTTGGCGACGCTATTACCGATTTCTCCGCCAAATGACGTCTGAGAAATGAGCGCAGAAATTCCATACTGATGACGCGTCATTACCCAGATCTGGGTTGTGCTTCTGATTGGTTGAATCAAATTTCCCACTCGGCACGACCGATCAGAAGCACGAACAAGATCTGGGTAGTGACGCGTCATCAGTCATGGACTTTCTGCGCTCGTTTCTCAGACGTCATTTGGCGGGGAAACCAGTAGTGGCGTCGCCAAATGTCGGCTGTTTTCTCAGGCTAAGCCGAATAAGAGGGTCTCCAATAAGTTTTTCGGGATGCGGGATTTGCCTTATTTGAGGCTCGGGATTCGGGATTTTAAAGGGAAATCGGGGGGAGATTCGGGATTGAAAGTATGCGCGGGAGGTGGGATGCCAAAAGTAACCCTCGGGATTACGGGATTGCCCGAAAATTTGGGTCGGGATTACGGGATAGAAAAACCCTATTGGGGACCCTCGAATCACGCATTTATCAAAAGAAAAAAATGATGGAATGCAGAGGTCCGCGCAACGCGTAAATAAAACTGACTGGGTTCTTTGCCGGATCTCTCAGATTAAAGAGATGCTGTAGCCAGACGACACTTGGTGTGTAAAATGAGACAAAACTGAATGCAAGGCTGGCACTACTTAATCTCGTACCCAGATCTCCCACGGCCACGGGAAAGGGAGATCTCACTTTTCAGTGTAAAACAGACTGAGATCTGGGTACGAGATTAGGCACTACTTTATTATAGGCCAATATTTTGGCTAACAAAATTAGCTTTCCTCAGGGCCAGGACTATACCGAGAGAAAATATTTTTTAACGGCTCCTAAAATATAAATTTGAAATTTACATAAGTGGTTAATAATTAACTACAATTATAAATACTAGATAGAACTATTAGTATAGGTAATAGCATGATTTGTAGTGATATTTGGCATAAATACTACAAGTGATATTTCAAAATTGTTATACGTAATTTCACGAGCCGTTAGGCGAGTTAAATTTGAGACAATTTTGAAATATCACGAGTGGTATTTATGCCAAATATCAGGTACAAATCATGCTATTATTTGTTTATACTACTACTCACAAAAGGGTTGTAATTTTCACATCTAGGTATTTCAAATTAAGCCGAAATACCACTGCTCTAAGCCAACCAAATTGCAGAAAAAAACATGTAGTAGTATAATAGGAATTATTAATAGTATTTATATATCAGTCTATATGTGATTTAAAGTTTGCGATATTTTTCCTGACATTGCTTTGGCAGCATGAATAAATATCTGAATGTCTTCAAACTATATAGGTTGTTCGACTGGTTGTGACAATATGTAACATCGACCGATGGGAGGTTTCGTGTCCAGCGGTTTTAGTGAAAACAAGGGTTTGTGGGGTTGCTCAGTCTCGCGGGCTCACAAACCTCCCGTAGGTCGATCTTATTTTGTATTTACCTGTTTGACAACTTCTGTATTAATTTTCTATAAAGGGGCTGTACTGTCATGGCTGTCTAGTTCATTTTGTTAACAAAGCCAATTAAACTTCGTCATTCACTAACACACTTAAGAAATAACTTGTAAATGACAAAATCACAGCTTCATGTAAAACAAATATGCCTTCCAAGCCTAATTTTAAACGTTAGAAACAACGAAAAAAATCACCATGATGCCGACATCATGATATGCGACTTCCACATTTCCCATAATGCACCTTTTTGCCCCCCCCCCCCCAAAAAAAATTTTTCATAACCTTTGTTTTTCATTTCTTCTGGGTATTACAGCCCTCCCAAGAGAAATTGAAAACAATGCTTATGCAAAATCTTGGGGGGGGCAAATAAGGAGCATTATGGGAGAAGTGCAAGCGGCGTACGGGATTTTATGGCAAGGAATTGTTTAGCTAATGGTCTGCGGGCTCAGGCGGTAGGCCATAAGCGTATCCAGGAGCGGCTCCTGGCGTATCTTATTTTTTCCAGCAAATCAGAATCTAGGACGTTCCGGAGGATATCGTTCATGAGCACACTTTACCACGCGCTCGCCTCTTTCGATCGCTCACCGTCACGCTGTTCTCATCGCTTGGTGAACTGAATTGAAAATGCCTTGATATAATATGAACTTTGAAAAACTGTTGGGCTGATAGCAGCAATTAGCTACAATTGGAATCCGTTTCAATCTTCTTTGTGTTTGCCGGCCCATCCGTGTCTGCTTTTGTATTTGCTGTGTTATTAATACTTTCTTTCAACGTTTTGAGCAGTTTTTTTTTTCATTTAATTTGGTGGCAGTTCTCACTGTTTGAAGTTGAGCTGAACAACAAAACAGCCCATAGAACTTACAATAACACGGTTTCTTGGTTTACTCTCTGTAAAAGAACTCACAATAAATTTCACAATACTCGATGAAAACCCTACAACGAAAACTCGCTCTCTTTTTTCGTCTCGTCCAGTTCTAGCTTACTTGTACTTGCCTGACTTGTTCATTATCTTATTTGGTAGTCCTAGCCCTAATTTAGTGGTGTTAATAAACGTCACAAAAATGTGAGGGGTAGGGTCGGTAAATCTCTCGAACAAACTTTGTTAAATTTCGTGACACAGCTCGTTTAACATCAAAGGTGTGATAAATTCAGATCGAATCAAAGACGGTCCTTAGCTATGTCAATTTAAACTGGTTTGTTCGAAAGCACGTTACGTTTTACAACTTAACATAGCTGACGAAGTAGGCCACAGGGTACCCGGTCAATAACAACTCGACCTGGTTTCTGTCAGCACAAAGCAAGGATAACGTGCCCCTCCTCTGGCTATGACGTAAGGTTCTTCCCAGAGTCATCCCTAACATTGTTTCACTGGTGCATTTATACCCCTGACTGGAGAGAGGAAGTATGAAGGCAAGTTCCTTGTTTAAGGAACCAAAAAGACTTCTTTTATGGCGGCATAGCAAAGACTGGAATCTAGGCCCTCAGGTGTCTGTAATCCAAAACGCTGATCTCTTCACAAAGGCGACTCCACAAACTCCAGCTTCTTTCATGAGGTATTAAAGGATTAAATTAACTGCATGAGGTAGGCTATTTTACGTCCATCGCTGCTTGCTGCCTTTTAACCAGACCAGCCTGAGCGAGCCGAACGAGATCAGGATGTTACAAGAAGTCTGTAGGTGAAATCATAGTCGGTCACACGCCCACTGGGTTTCACTCTTCGGAGAAATCATTACAATTCCTTCTAAGATTCGCTGTTGTTAATGATTTCCATAATGTGTTGTAGTCTCAGGTTTGTGGATTGTTTGGCTTGCGCCATTTCATTCTTACACTCCTCAATTTTCATCTGCAGCTCCTGAGTGATTGTTTCAGGCGAGTTTAGTAGAGAAGAAATTTCCTGTTTCTCCTTGAGGGACTTGAGTTTCTCGTGTGGAACATCAAACAACGCTTCTTGAATTGTGACAGCTGAGTCGAATTTTTCCATGGCGGCTTTATAATCACCCTGTTTACAAACAATAATAGCACGACAATTCAATCAAATACTCAACGCATTTAGAGCCTCAGCAGCCTGGAGCCTCCATTTTCCTCATGATACCTGGATCATAGAATGACAACCTCGCTCCCAGGGCTTTTTCCGAACGTTCACACTTTGAAGTGAAAAGCCCCTAACCTAACAGAATGAAAGACTTCAGGCTATTTATAGATTTGTTTTTCGCGCTAAAATCTGTCAAATAATCAGTGCAGCATATGATTTTAAATGGTTATAGTAAACTATAAAGGTTTTGCAATGGAAGAAAGGAAGTGTCAGGCAAAGGGAGCCTTTATTCAGGGGCGTAGCGTCCATATACGCACATACGCCCGTGCCTACAGCTGAAATCTGGAAAATATATATTTTTCATTTCCTGAAAGCATTTTTATCATTAAATCGGGATGATTGATAAATCTTTCGCATTATATATTGGTTTCTTTACCCGTCTGAAGGGTAGACATCTCGCCCTTTGCTTGTAACCTCTTTGATAGCGTCACTGTTGTACCTTTTTCCCGTAAACATTACACCTTACCGATTATTGCATTTTCCTTCGTATTTATTTACTGAAAATGTCTTGCGGAAAACGCGGGAAATGGCATTTCTGAGCCCCTAAATTTGAAACATATTCTGGGAAGCATGTCCGTATACCTCCCTAGTTTGCAGTACCCCGCTTCGGAGGTCCAATCTTTCTTTCCGTGCGTACACCTTCAAAACCTCACGCTACGCCCCTGTTATTTATAGACCAACTGCCATATTAGTTCAAGTGGACGTTTGTGAAGACAGCGAATTTAACGGGGAAAATATTTAACGGGCTGTGAAACGCATTGGACTCAGGGACTTTGGAATAACGATTGGAGTCCGGAATCCAAGTTCTGACTGGAATTCAGTGCCTGGAATCCGGATCCATGACGTGGAATCTGGAATGCAAGACAATCTTGGATTCCTTTACGTGGGGCGAAAAAAAAAACACACAACAAAAAAGGAATGGGTAATAATTTTCACTGACGGTGACTAATCCTAGCCTCCCACATCACGTAGCCGTTCATAGGGTTTTGTCATGCGTTCTTTCCTCAAGTATTGTGTGACTAGCCAAAAGTACTTCTGCGTAGTAGGCTACTTTAGTCCGAGCATTTACGAAGTCATATAGATCAGGCGATGTAAGGAATTTTTCGCAGAAATTTTGTTCAGTAGCCGAACGTTTGATGCTGCCCTTACGTTCTTAGAAAGTTTATTTTTCCTAAATCATTGACGATTTCCTTTACCTTCATTTTTAAAGCCACACCCAAGTCATGCCACGTACGAGCAGTCTCTTGGTGAAAATGCCCGAGCAACGTTGTCCTGATCCTAAGAGCCTCTGTAAAATATTCCACGGCTCTGTCAGCGTTGCCGAGCGCCATGCAATCATTGCCGAGATAGTTGTAAATTGTGCCCAAGAATGGATGCTCCCCGAGTTCAGCATAAGTAGCAAGGGCGGTTTCTCTGAGTTTCAGGGCTTCTTCGTGACTGTTTAACAAGCTGAAGACAACTGCATGAAGAATAAGAAATGAAAAAATTTGCTTCATCCAATCAGAAGTACTACCCAGATCTGGGTAGTGACGCGTCATCAGTGTAGAATTTATGCGCTCGTTTCTCAGATTTCATTTCGCGGAGAAACTAGCGGCGGCGTTGCGAAATGTCGGCTGTTTAGTCAGCCTACCTTAGCAGAGATCTTTAGTTTTCAGTGTAACTAAATAAGCCATATACGTATGTCAGAGTAACAACGCAGTTATCCTCTGAAGCAGTAAAAAATCTGAATAGACCTTTTTACCGATACGGGCGGTTTTTTTAAATTTATTGGATTTAAGGAGTATTATAGGATGCCCAGGGGGCATGAGCAGATTTCGTTTGTATTTTCGAGCGCTTTTCGGAACATTTTTGCTTAAAGTTTTCTTAGAATAAGATTGTAGTGGGAAAAAAGATCCTTGTGCCGTGTTTTGATGTAATAATGATCGCCTTTTTCCAGAAAAATATACAGTGAAAGACCATATTTCTAATACTAAACTAGAAAAAAGCGCTCATTATTACATCCAAACACGGCAGAAGGATCTTTTTTCCCATTACAATCTTATTCTAAGAAAACTTTAAGCAAAAATGTCTTGAAAAGCGCTCGAAAACACAAACGAAATATGCTCATGCCCCCTCGGCATCCTATAGTAATCCTTAAATCGAATTAATTCAATATGGCCGCCGTATCGGTAAAAAGGTCTATTACAAGGCAATGCACTGACCATTATCGTCAAGGTCACGCTGTCTCTATGACTACTCCTTTCCCAAAACAACTGACGGCATTCAAATTCTTCTTTCAGTGTTTGATCCGCATTCCCGCACCTTTTTCGCGAAAATCCCGCATCCCGAACTTCTGTCATCTCTACCCAGAATACCGTTTTTTCTTTTCCAATAACGCATCCCGTGTCAAACGTTTAGCGAGTCCCGCTTCCCGATCGAGTAGCAGCCAAAAAAGGCAAATCCCGTATCCCGTTTTTGCGTATTCCCGAATCCCTCAAAGTAGTTCAGTCAAATCCCGGGTCCCGAGAATACCCTTTAGACCCTGTTCGTTCGCCTTACCTGCTCTGTCGTGACAGCAAGCTGCGTACTTGAACGGTTCTTTCTCCCTCATCTTTTCCCTCATTTGAAGAGCCTGTTCGCTTAACTCCAGAGCCTTCGTGGGAGTGCCATTCTTGGCCATACAGCGTGCAATCTTACTGTAGCACTGCGCTAACAGCTCCCCGTCCTTGACATTCATCTGTCTGTAAAGCTCGAGAGCTTTCTGA